TGAACAACAGTTCCAGCAACGAGCCCTAAGCGCACAAAGTTACCGTGAAGAACCACGAGTTGGCCTACAAGGAAGAATAAGTATAAAGGAGACTCTCTTTTCCCAGCAGAAAGGAGGAGAGTACCTTCTATACCCGCAACAAATTCCCAACTACTTTTAAGCATCCAAGTCCAGCTCCAAGAATTGCAATAGAACTTCCAGCTTGACTACCTAGAAATAGTTGTTCCGTAGCTTTAGAAGCTTCAAAATACTGTTTCTCTTTCTTTACACAAAGAACTAGAATCTCACCTGGAGTTATCTATAACTAGATAAATCCCTATTACTTGGTCTCGTACCTCTGTTCTTGCAACTCAGCGTTGACAAGATCCCTGCAGTCTTAGACTCAGGTATCCCATAGTTTAGAGCTTTGGGAACCAAACTTTGGCTTAAGGACTTTGATCAATCCTCTTCTGTAAACCTACAGTAAGCTGTGGTCCTTTTGTCAGCCTACTGAATATCTTTTTGCGAGATCATAAAATAGTGCTGACTCACTTGTTTTCCTTCAACTCAGTCATTGAAACTATCTAGATCCTACGTACCCAATAGGATCTGTTGTGGGGTTTTTGAGCCGTGAGTACTTTGACTAGACTACTCTGCGCTTGCTAAGATAGCCACCCTGACAAACAGGCTCCTCCTTAGCTTCATTTATGTCACATAAAAACTTTCATCTCTCAATGTGTCTGTTCTTTTCTCAGCCTCACTGATAAAAGACTCTCATTTTTTCTTGATCTTATCATATAAAAACAAAAAATGTTAACTTTCTTGTTTTCTGTTTGTTAAACAAGTTGTGTGACTGAGTGTGTTTTTTCAATTTTTTTCCTTTTTGCCTGATTTTGCTTGTCTGGCCGTTGCGTTCTCAGTTTTTCACAATTGGCTGTGTTGTGTTTTTTTTTGTTCTGTCCCTCTAAAATCTGTATTTTTGCGCTCAAATATGACATAAGTTAGTCTTCTGTTATGTTCACTGCCAGGAATAAACACTGTCCTAATTGGGATAATGTGTTGCTTTTTTGGGATAATTAATTTTTGCCATATAAATGCTAAGCAATTAATGCAAAAGTGATCATTATTCCATCAGGGACAGTGTTTAATCCTGGCAGTGGTTATCACACGGTGCCAGTTCCTTTCATTTTGGACCGGTATGTTTTCCAAAGTGTTGTGAGTAACATAATTCAGTGTAACAGTCCAACATTGCTCTACCCCTTCGCTTGGCCAAGCTACGCTCTAACCATGATGGTTGATAGTGTCAATTGTAATTGAAAATGGAGTAAAATACCCAAAATTGTGATTTACCCAGCTTACCACTTGGTAATACCACAAATGTTGTTGTATATGCTTTATAATAGATCTTTCATGTTCATATGCAAAAATATAACCTTCCCCAACTCATTTCCAGTGTGAAAATCTGCTGTGGTACCCCAAAATCAAAGTTGTATGATTGAAAATAGCACTTTATATGATTTTGAATGTGATTTTTGAGTTTCAAATCCACCCTTTTCATATGTAATGTTGAATTTACCATAATTTTCTTTTCATTGACTTTTGATAACCACACCAGCCCACAGGCAAGCTTGTTGGTGACAGATGGCAAGCTTGATCTTGCCCCAAGACGGTCAAATGGGGCTCTGACCCAAGGGGTCTGGCTGACAAACCCATTGGACTCTTTGGGGCAAGTTGTTTCAGCAAATTGTTACAGTTGGAGAGATTGAGGCTCAGCTCAGCTCAATAGCACGCACCACCTCAGCTCTGTAGTTCACGTTGGAGGCACCTCTTTTTTCCAGCCTGTGCGCATAAATGCGGCTGTTTTTTAGCTCAATGTGCGCGCAAAGGGGGGGGTGCGCAGTGCAGGGTACAAAATCATGTTTTTGAGCATCTTCATTAAAAAAAAAAATGTGTTTTTCAGGAAAAAGAGGAAAAAAACATTGAAATTGAAAAAATCAAACATCAAATAGATCAGCTGCAGACCAGCTAGAAGGTTTATACTCTACAACTATAATTGGTGTAATAGATGAATTGTTGTTTTTCTTTTGTTTAAACAAAGAGAAATCAAAAAGACTATCCATGAATCCCTCGAAATCATCTGAAGAGTCATCTGCCATAGGTTCTACCCCTTCTTCAAAAGCCTCAACTTTGTCAGTCAGTACAAAAAGGTCTGCATCATTGCTAGTCACATCTTTCTCAGTAGAACTTTTCTTCTTTGTTGAGTTTGGTTTCTGTGAATTGTTGTCTGAGAGACCCAGTCGCACTTGTGACATCAACTTTAAGGTCTGGACTTTCATTCTATTTTGTGCCTTTGACTTCAATTGACTCATAATTGAAAACAAGCTTTTGACACCGGGAGCTTGAGGAACAATTTCAAGTATCTTGATTGCTAACTCCTTGAGTGAGCTTGTGTCTGAAGTAGATGGCAAATTACGCCAATAATCAATAGGCCAATTATCTACAAAGATTGACCAGTGAAGATATGGTCAGCCTTGATCAAATTGAAAGTTTGAAAATGGAAAACTTACAAGATTCAGGTATGTTGAAGGGCGAGTCATCCTTGTGATAACAAGGTACTTGAGACTTGATAGCATAGCCTTTGGATTGAGAGCAGCCCCATTTACATGCAAGCTCAACTGCTTGTTGGGTCATCCATTCAACAGAGTATTTCTTTGAAGTGGCGACTTCACAATATGCTGGATTGAGGAAGAAGGCAAAGATGTATATATCCAGCTGGAATTATTTGCTACGGTTATGAATACTAGATAATGCATGATATTTGAGAGGCTTGAAACAATCATAGACTTTGGTATCTTGAATGCTACAGTAGTCAATACCCAGCTCCTTCCAAATATCACTCAAAGTTGTATCAGCTTGCTCTAATTGTGCCAGTGAGTCAACAATAGGATGGGGAATCTTGACAAGTACTTCATTACCAGTGAAATGATCTCGGTCATTTATTATAATTTGAACTTCTTTGTTCATTTTGGGTGTATCAATGGATGGATTGTTTAACATGTTGATACACTTGATAAAGCCAGGTTCATGATCTCAAACTTACAAGCAAACTTTGGCCATCGAAAACCAAAAAGTGAGACAAAAGGTTTGAATTGCATGCCCCGCGCCAACCTCAGCTCACCAATCCTCAAGAATTTCCCCCCAGTAATGTGATTTGGTGAAAAGGTTGGCAAGGACCTTATCGTTTTTGACTATTGGTGAAATAAGAGGAAATGCACATATGTCTTTGACAATAAGATTGAAAAGATGGAGACAGCAGCCGACAGGAACAATATAGTGGCTCTCAAACCTGCCCCGGTTTTCAAAAAACCCAGTTGACCCAGTTGTTTTTTGGCAGTAACTTTGTGTATCAAGTTGACATTTGATGACAGCTCCCAGCCAAAAATTCAACTGGGGCAACCGGGTTTTTTGGAACTGGGTAAGGTTTGAGAGCCACTTATGAGGTTGTGAAATACAAAGAAGACACTGATTGAATGGGAGATTGGTTAGTATGATCTAACTTCAATAGAGAATTGAGGTTAGAAATCACTCACCCAAAACTTGACCATGACTGCAGGTGAATCAGTGACCACGGCACATACAGTTGTCCATTTGACTCCTTGTCAATGGAGAGTGCCACTGGCAGCCTCAAGGCCATTCTTGGAATTATGTTGTGCCACATGAAGATCAAGATTATCGAGACAATACTTGATCTTCATACCACGTAATAACATGACAGCATAAACACTGTTTTTAGAACAGTTGGTCCATCCATCAAGAGAGAGAGTGAGACTCTTCTCTTTCTTGAACATTTGAGCAGCTTGAAGTTGATAGTTTGCATGTGAATAAGGAATTATAGTGGAAGCCATTCTGTGACAAGTAGGTAGTTGATAGGTAGCACAAGCAAGAGTTTCCTGATACAAACAAAAGTAAAGATTATGAAGGAATTGGAAAGGGATGTTTGCTGTAATTAAAGCTTTGAGTAAGATTTTGTGTAGCTCATCAGTTTTTGGCTTATAAAAGCCCAAGAAGTGATGCATTGAATGAGAACAATCAATATTAACAACTATTGGAGGAGCAGTGATTTTAGACATAGAAGATTGAGACTGGGTTTCTGAATTGAGAGAGGGATCCTTCAAACATTGGGGAACTTGGAAAATATAAGAGGACCCGTCTTTGGGGGTTATTCTCTTGCATAGATTGATGGCAAAGAGATTAGCCGGCTTCCCATTGTCAAAGATGGTTGAATAATGGGTTCATTTGGCTTTGCAGCAATTAGCTGAGTCCCTGCAAAGATTGGACATCAGAAAGCCTGTCCAGTGTCCATCTTTGGTCATGTGCTTTCAAAGGTGGATGCCACTTGGTAGGCATGATACGTGATGAGTCAGAGTGGTGATTTGTGAACTTTTTTCTAAAAAAAAAGTTATATATTGAACTAAAGGGAAAAAGAAGGGATTTATAAGGAACAAAAAAACCGCTCCGGGTACAGGCTGGATGGAAGGTTCTAGAAACGTGCACGCAGGCTCCGTTTCAAGCCATTTGCCTGCAAGCACCTACGCGCAGGCCCTGCGGGCCGCATACGCCACAAGACGTGCACCACCTGCCACATGATCTGTAGTACATGAAGCAATACAAATAATCATATCATTTCTATTTCACAGTCTACAATTGAAAAAGGGGGATTCTGGGTAGATAGAAGGGAAATAAAACACATTATAGCTAATATCAATTGGATACATTGTAATGATTTTTCAAATATGCGGTTGCATCTGGTTTGAAGTGTTGGATCATCCAAGTGCACCAATGTTTCCCCCGCTTCCTGGTATGTGGTGAAGGATACAATTACGGGATACAAAGTAGAAACCGGGCCTGCACCCGGCTTCATGCCCAGTTTTTTTTGGCAGTAAATTTGAATTCTGGGCCTGGAATTTTCCCCAGAAAAACAAAATTTACTGCCAAAATAATTCCAGGCACATGCCCGGATTCTACTTTGTATCCCACAAGTGATCATGACAGTACAGTTGAACCCGCACAATTGCATACCTGCGCAGCTGCATAACCCGTGATAATGCATAGAAAAATTCCTCAATCTCAATGCTTTTCATTGCCAAATTTGACAAAGGGATTGCATAACCCGTTAAAATGCATAGGAAAAGTGTTCCACCCAAATTATGTGATTGTGCGGGTTCAACTGTAGCAAACTCCTTGACATGCTTGATGTGAGAATTTCTATTTCAAATCCAACATGAGAGTCACTGAAAGTAGCAACCAAGGATGTTAGTTCTTACCTTTACAATCCCTGGGCCCATCCACAACTTTATCCATGTATTGATTGAGATCAAGGTCTAAGAATCCAAAGACTACGGAAATTTTAACTTCCATGTGGTAAATGTCAAGGATTCTATGATCATCAATAGTGTTGAAAAATGATCAACATGTTATTAGTAGGGGAAGACCAAGGCACCCCAGAAGATCATATGCTGAGATCAAAGTGGAAGAAAGCTAACCTGACAATGTTTGCATCATTCATCTCCTTCAAAATACTGATTTCACAAATAGCAGCACTTGGAACTACCTTGTCTTCAGCCTCTAGTGGGATCTTCTTGAGTGCCACAATCTCTCTGGTTCACAGGTCACTGCCTTTATAGACTAGGATTTGCCTAAATACTATTCAATCCAGGATCAAGATCTCAAGAAAAAGATGAAGGATCCCGATTGAGAGCTCACCTTCACCAAACTATTTACCCATGCATCAGTCATGACAAGTCGAAAAAAGAAACACACCAGATTAGTTGTCAAAACAGATGAAAGGTCGGTGAAGCGGGGTAAAGATTACCTTCTTGAATCAATTTTAGTTCTCTTTTTTGTTCAAAACTCAAATATTATCATTAATCTGTCATTGCTGAGCGTATTATATATTTTTGTGTATAAGAATTTGGATGAAGAGATAGAGTAATTCCGCTTTCAATAATGAAGCTGTTGACCAAATACAGGGCTAAAATCTGATGTGAATTTAAATTTGAACTCACCATCAAGGGTGACAATATACTATAATGGTTCAGGTATAGTTGGGTATACATAGTATAGTTTTAATTGTACTGTAATATAATCAGTATAGTATAGTTGAAACTTTACTTTCCTCAACTATACTCAGTATAGTATCAATTGATCAACTATACTTGGACAAGGGTTACACAAGTCTTCCATCAACATGTTCAACTATACTGCACAGTATAGTATAGTATAGACAAGCATAGTTGTATTATACTATACCATGTATAGTCTCAGTATAGTATAGTATAGTATATTATAGTATAGTATAGTATAGTGGGAGGCTTGTCACCATGATTGAATCTGTGGGAGTGGAGATATTTGATTTGGCTGGTATACAGGATGAGGTTTTTGCAATTGTTAAATCAAGAACATGGATGGAGGTGAATGAAGAGATTTAGAAAAGCATGTGATATGCTTACCATTTAATCAGCAAGAAGTGAGATTATCTTGAGACCAAGCTTTCTACATTTTTGAAAGATAGGCTTGAGGCTATATTGAAGGCTGTGAACCCGCTCTTGAGGAAGAGCACCACGAAATTGATTTCCCAAAAAATAAGATGAGCTTGTCAAGGCAAGCACAACAAGGAGCTGAGGAACTTACTGAAACTGAAGGAAGAATCTGGGGTCATTTGGAAAGGTATAAATCACAAAGGTGTTGGATTTGAATCATTAATTGCTCTTTCAAAATGGGATTCTTTTGTTTCTGAAAACAGGTGGAAGAGGAAATTTTGACACTTCTTCCTTTGCTGGTGTGCCAGATAGGAGGCCAGGGGGAATCATGTGTGATTTGATGTAACATGTCATGTGAGGTGCAACAAGCCAACCCACAACACAAGTTTGGTGTTCAAGGACATTGTTTTCACTTCACAGGCCCAGCAAGAGGACAGCCTGCTTTCCATGTGCAGACAAGCTGACTGTCAGGACATGCGGTCTTAGCTGTCCTCAAGGTTTACCAACAGCAGCCCAGTAATGGATGGCCTATGAGCCGGTCTCCAGGCTGCCGCCTGACCTGGACATTGTCAGACCAGGGTGGACCACTTTTGGGCTCAAGACCGTTATGTGGTGTACCTGGTTGGCGACTGGTGGCAGTCTGCTGGTCAGTTGCAGAAAATTTGCCAGTTGGCTTTGACAGTTCACTGCAGCCCATCTATTGTGGCCCGCGGGGCGGTATGCAGGCCGCCTCCCAGCCAGACCATTCTCAGGCTATGCAAGACAGTTTTTGGGCTCAGGACCATTCTGTGGTGTATGTACTAACCTAACAAAGTCCCTCTTGGCAAGCAAGCCTGTGAGAGAGGGACTTATGGGTTATGCACAGAATTTGGCATGTGAGCAAGAAACTTTTGGCTGAGGAGTTTTTCAACCAGCCATAACTTTTTACCATACAAATAAACAGCCTTCAGACCAAAGAATGAATATGTGCGCCTGCTTAACCTACACATGCTGCTTCATTGGAATATCTCTTTTGGTTTCAGGAAAGCGCTACAGAAAGACTTGAGAAATGAGTTTATGTGTAACATCTCAGCTTGCCCAATAGGAGCTTTTGACGGGTTGGACAACTTTCTCAGGTATTTTGGATTTTTTGCAAACTTCAGCCTTCTATTTCTCCGCTATAAGTGCATCAAATATGCAGTGAGATACATCAATGTATGGAGTTTGAGCAGGCGCACACTTTGGTCCAAAGACTGTTTATTTGTAAAGTAAAAAATTATGGCGGGTTGAAAAACTCCCTAGCCAAAAGGTTCTTGCTCACACACCAAATTTTGTGGATAACCCATAAGTCCCTCTCTCACAGGCTCGCTTCCTCCAGAACATGGTTGGACCTGAGGAAGTTTGGGAACTTTCCCTAGATACTCAAGGAACATAGTTCCCAAACTTATCAAAGTCCCTCGCCAAAGGCCCGAGGCTTGAGCAAGGGACTTACCACTAAAAAGACAATTGTGGCCTGAGAAGTAGCCTGTATTGGCTCAAAAAGCTCTACATTGGTTTATTTTTTTTATCCCACAAGAAACAATATTTGATGCAAAATAAAAAGATAACATTAAGATCTCATTACATATGCTCCAATTGCAAGCTCCTTTGTATCTTTCTGGGAACTTGCACTTTTGAGTGATTGAAGATCAATCAATTTCACCATATACAGGCTCCAAGCGGGCTCACGGGTCAGAAAAAGGAAAAAAGACATGTTTTTTAACACCCATTAGCAGGCGCTCCAGACAAGATATGGTGGAGCTTGCAGTTTCAATGTATGTAATGGACGTTTTTGGTCCTACTTTTATTTTGCTTCAAGCCTTGTTCATTTACAAACAAAACGGGTATATTGAAGTAGCGATATTTGAGCCAATACAGGCTACTTCTCAGGCCACAATTTTCTTTTTAGCGGTACATAAGTCCCTCGCTCAAGCCTCGGGCCTTTGGGGAGGGACTTTGATAAGTTTGCATCTACATCGACCTCGGGTAGGACGGGGCCGACGTCGGGTCATGACCGATTCTCGAACAAGCTGCATCGTCAACAGATTTTCAAATCTCATCGTCACCATCCTCGTTCTGCCACATCTCTCTACCATACGCAAGGATGTCGATCAAATCATCCTCAAAATCAACTGGAAAAGCTCAAGCAGCTTTACAAGAACTTTATAATTCCTATCTCTCAGTAAGCATCCCTGTTGGTTCTTAATTTCAACAAATATTAAAGAGAACTTGAACAAACTTGTTTCATTTTGTTCTTTAGGATACTCCTACTTCATTATTACTCATAGATTCCTTTTTGGGTTTCTTAATAATTTCAGCTGTGCTTCAGTTCACTTATTGTATAGCCTTAACCGATTTCCCATTCAATGCTTTCCTTGGGTCTTTCCTCGCCCACGTCGGTCAATTTGTTTTGGGTGCAAGTTTGAGAAGTCAAGTGAATCCTAAAAATGCAGCTGAATTTGAATCAGTTACACCTGAGAGGTAATATTTGACACTCTTATTCCCCTTTCTTGAAAAGAACGTCTTTTATGGTTGACTGACCGATCTTTGTCGCTGTTCGGTCTTTTCTCAGAGCTTTTGCGGATTTCGTTTTCGGTTCTTTAGTTCTTCATTTCTTTGCTTTCAATTTCCTAGGATAGAAGCCATCTCTATACTCAAAGATTATTATATCATTTAAACTCCCATCTCTGAGCTTCAACTGACTGTATTACCAATGGGCCGGCAAACCGAGACAGAAGAGGTCTTTTTGTGGGTTCGTTGATTATAGTAGTTTCTTTGTACCTCTTCGAGATCGGTGCGGCATTTACCCTCAAACACGGACTTTCATGGTAAAAGAATGCATCTACCCCAATATGCATTAGAACGATAAAACTCAAAAGAATTACAAGGCTTGAAATATTAAATTTTGAACATGAGCGCTGTGAAGAGATTATCAACCTGAACAGCACTGGCTGACAACCCAATTTGGATCCAGTCTGATGTGACTAAATGGATGACTTGAGACAAGTAGTGTTGTTCACAGGGATGTGGGTATGGAATTGAGATCGCAGTATACAGCTTTGCGGTAGCTAGTACCTTGACTGACTTCATACAGAGCTAAATAATATTGACTGCCAGTTGATTGGTGCGAGAGGTATCAAGCGAAATGAATTCCTTGCTTGTGAAAACATGATAGTAACCTAAACCAGTCGTGTATCAGTGACTTGTGGCGTACGTGTTAAGAGAAGGATTTGATAAAATCGACTCACGATAAGAAATCATCTACATCCATCTTCGCCGCTCGTTGATCAGAGTAACCAGAATCAGTCAAGATCTTGTCCAAAAGAGTAGAAAAGTTGTCTTCATCTTCTGTGATCTAAATAAATGAGTCAAAGTGAATTAGATGCTTTTTAGACAACGGTATAAGTAAGATAAGGAGTGGCATACCATCTTGTTTTGTTGAGAGCACCATGTTTTCCAATTAGAATATAACATATCTTTGACAGCTTTAGAAGCAAAGAAACTAGCTCTGATCGTTTTATTTCTTCTATTAAAACATATTCGAGTTAAACCATCGAATTCTTCGAATTTGATAGCAGGTGGTGGATTGATTGGTTCTAATTTGATCACACTACTCTCAACAAGAGGTGGTGGTCTGAAGTTTGCTTTTCCTACTTTCATCAAATGATTCACTTTTGAATATAACTGTACATTTACTGATAATCGACACCATAATGAACTTCCTGGTCTTGCACATAGCCTCAAAGCAAATTCTCTTTGAAACATCAGAACTGCTACCCTGAAAATCGGACGATGTGCTAGTAATTTGAAGACGAGTGGTGACGAGATCTTTCAAGGTTTAAAATGAATTTTCATCCGTATCAAAAAAATCTTTTGTCAAAATTTTGTTCAAATCAAATTAGGATTTTAAGATTGGGGTAGTAGATTGAACAATATGAAAAAAACCTCACCTGATAAGGAGTATTACTTATACAAACATCAAAATAAGGTAAATCTGTTTTCAAAAAATCTCCTACTAAAATATCTAATTTTTTCATTTCTTGTGGTTTACCTTGGAACCTTTTACTTAATTCTGATGCCATTCTAGGATCCATTTCAACTACTAATACCTTTTTACATTTTTCTAAAATTTTAACTGTTAAATTTCCAGTCCCAGGTCCTACTTCTAAAACTTGATCTGTTGTTTTCAAATTTGCTTTATCTACGATACTTTGTGCTACTAAAGGATTCTAATCAAGAAAATATTGATCAGATTTGGTTTATGTTTTTGACTCGGATTCAGTCCAAAGTTTTAACTGACTTTCAAAATATGTTGACCGAGTTTTTCTGTGTCAAAGATAGGATTACTAGCACCAGCCGAAGTTTTGGTGGAGGTATTAGCAGTAGAATGTGTTTTTGGACGAGATGTGCTAGAATAAGGGGCAGCTGGTGTGTGCGTCTTGGTAAATCGGGTTGTTGTCGCTCGTGGCATCGTGAATAGAGCTCGTTGAAGTTGAGTGAAGTCTTCTTGGAGGTTCAAGTTTAGCGAATGACAGTTTTTTGCAAGCCAAAACCCTGAGATCGTGCTATGCCCGACCAAAAGACCCGACGCTGGGTCCGACCCGGTTGCACTTTGCATAATGGCCGCCCCGCCGGCCCTCCAGGAGTGTACAATACAGTGAGAGGTCTCTTCTTCGTCGTCCCTCCTTTTCATGACTCATCAACATTTGTGCATTCAAAGGGTTTGGATGACCAAAGCTCAATCGTTGATATGGTGGAAAGTCACCAAAACGAAGCTCATTTGACGTTGGCTAAGTCAGAGGAAGCGCAGAAGATACAGAGTCACCATTCACTGACCGACCTCAGCATAAAGGCCTCATGATCATAATTCTATCCATGGCGATATTGATCCAATGGAAGCTTAGAGTATCCCTTTCATGGGTGGATTGGTTACTGAGTAAAGTCAAAAAGCTTGCCTATATGAGAATTGCTCGTTTTTGTATCCCTTTGATGAGGCTCCCTTGTCCGACTCCAATTTCACCCTCTCACCTATTCCTTTCAGTATATCTGATTATTCCAAGGGGAACTGGTTTCCCAATTTACATTTTAAATCCCAAAAAGACTGTGAAAGAACTCAAATATTTATCTCACGCACTCTCTCAACAAAAATCAAAACCTTCAACAATTTCTCAATATGAACTTATTATTCTTGATTTTACTTTGCTATCCCATCGTGTGTTCTGGACATTCCTTTCTTTTATCTATCCAAGGTTCAGATGGAGTACGCTCAACAGCTTTTGGGGCTAGACTCTTAACACGAGGTACATTGGTACAGAACACTGGAATATTCGATAAAGATTTACCTGATGAAGACAATGATACACAATCGAACAAATCAAGACCTGGACCCTGTGGAAGGATTTTTGGTGGTGATAGTTTACCAGGTTTCGACATTGATGTAGCAAAGGAAATGCAGATAGGTTCATAATTTTTCTCTTTGCTTTTTCTTTTGAATCAAACTGAGTAATTGAAAATGATGATCTGACTTGAAATTGATCTATTCATCATTTGTTTTCTCATTCCATAGCTGAAGCAAGTGGAATTCCAACTGCTTCTTCCAATGGGACTATTCAAATGGGCGTTTATGTTGCGAACCCAGACGGTGCAGGTCCTTTCAAATGTGTTTATTCAAGTGATTCTTCATTGAAAGAATTTCAACCTATGAAGATCTTACATCAAGTAGAAGGATTCAAAAGTGTTAATAAGTTTGCAAATAACTTTGTATACCCACTTACAGCAACTTTTAACAAGTTGAGTTTTGCCTACTAGATCAAATCGACCTCTTTGTTCCTCATATATCAAAACTAACATCTTTATGTCTTGATTATAATCTATTATTTCGCCTGAGAAGAGATACGACATGTAGTGGCGGGAATGATAAGAATGTATGTATCATCAAGTGTACCAATCCGAATGGATTTGGATCTTGTGCAGCTGTGAAGTTATCGTCAGGATTTGGCCACTCCAATTCAACGAAGGAATCTCAATTAGATTCAAACCCCCCATTGACGAGTGGGGCGAGTCGCGGAATTCGATTTGGATAGCTAAAGTCATCTTGAATATTGATATTTGCTTTTCGTATTCTTTTCCTTCTCGAAAGTCGTTTCTTGTTTAGAGCTTTTTAATTGCTTCACTTGTCTTCTTTTCGAATATGTAATTCTTTTTGCTAGGATTTTGTATGATCGTTTCATCTATTCTTCAAATTTATATCTATTGGTCTTTGACAGACTTCAAGGGTGAAATGTCATCATCTTATAAAATGTGTAGTCTGTGCTACTTTTCCTCCCAGATACATACGCCGGGCGTGAATTACTCTCGCAGTAGAACACTTTGCCTGATATAGCAAGGTCAAGACATCACCTCATTGCTGATGGCCATACCATCAGTTTTGCTATAGCGACCCTCCTTATGAATTGAGGTTGAGCTCGCTTCTCGTGCGGTCTTATGTTGAGGTTGACATATGACTTTTGTAAGCTTTCATCACACTGCGTTCAAAGTCATCGAAAGACCTGCTTACTTTTGAATCCGAGGTCCATTTGTTGCTTTCTCGGTGAAGCTCATATGCAAATGAATTTTATCGCTTTTTGTGACAACTTTCCCCCACTGGTACGCGTATACATCAAGAAGTGGTTTCCATCCAGAGTCAAGCTGACCCATAATCCCCTCATCAACAATTTCAACATTCACCAACAATCAATCCATCCGTTCTCATTTTCTTTTCCAAAACAAAATCTCTAAAATCACACAAAATGCTGATCAAAACCTTATTACAGTTCGCCTTACTACTCAAGCTCGAGGTATCGGCACATTCTTTCATCTTTGCCATCGATGGTGCTAATGGTATCCGATCTCCTGCGTTCGGCTCTCGTTTTACTCTACGTGGTTCATTACATCAAAACACTGGTATCATCAAAGACGAAGAAATCTCATCACGTCAGGTTGGTCCATGTGGAAAGATCTTTGGTTCAGAGCATATGCCTCCTTTTAACATTGATCTTGATCATGAACTTAACTTAGGTATGTCATCAAGAACTTGAAATTTTCTCCTTTTTTCAAAACCATTTGAGTTTGCTAATCAAACTTCAACCCTTTTTTCATAGCTGAAGTAAGTGGGATCCCTTCCGCTTCTGATGACGGTGAATTGGTAATGTCTATGTATGTTCATAATCGTGATGGTGCTGGACCATTCAAATGTGAATATTCACCAGATGCCAGTCTTAAATCATTTGAGCCTATGAATATCACACAACAAGTTGAAGGTGTTAGAGGGATCAATGAAGCTGCCAAAACTTATGTGTATCCTCTCAGAGCTGCATTCTTCTCGTAAGCCCAATCTCTTTTTTACTTCTTGAGTCTGAGGATTTTTACTGATTATTTTTTTCTTCAAATAGTAATTCTACTTGCACAGGTGGAAAGAGTGGTGATGTATGCGTGATGCGTTGTAGGAACGAGATAGGATTTGGTTCGTGTGCAGCTGTTAAGTTAAGTCCTTCTAGTCACTTGGTGCCCGCTCCCTTGAACTTCTCATCTTCCACAGCCGATCCAAACAATGACACCATGTCTGGTCTCAATGCTACCAATGCCAACAGCACTTCTGAACTAAACACTACCACCGCCTCTGACCTCAACAATATTACCCGATCTGATCTCAACGATACTCTTAACTCCTCGTCAAATATGACTCAAGACGGAATGAATTCGAGCCAAACTCTAGAGACTAACTCCTCTGATTTCAATTTTTTGAATGAATCTCTTCCATTTGGAAACCTACTTGTTCAGAATAGCACGGACCAACCTATTGAACCGAAAAAAGTAGAACTGCAAAATCAAGATCAATTACTGACAGCAATGGAAGCCATCAATCAAAAACTAAAGGATATTGAAGAAGGATTAAATGTAAGTCAAATCATGAAGACGACTTCGACAAATTCAACACTTCCAAATGAATCTCTCCCAGAAACTTTAACTGTTAATAATCAAACAGAAACACCTACTGAACCGATTGAAGTACAAAAAGTTGAATTACAAAATCCAGATCAATTATTAACGGCTATGGAAGCAATTAATAAAAAAGAACAAAAACCTCAAGAAGAAAAAGAAATCAAAAGAACTTTTTTGAGGAAAAGATCATTGCCTAGACTTCTCAGACAGAGGAAAAGCGGTTTGGATTATTAAGTTTGAATACGGTGTAAAGTCAACAGAAATCTTGAAAATCTGTCTATGAAGCACATTGTAGACCTTGAAGAGCCTTTTGGCTTCATATAATCTTTCCTTGTTAATCTTGAAGACTTTTCTTTTGACTATCTCAACTGTACATATCTCTTTGATCACATTGAAATTTGCCTTTCTTTCAATTGACCATTAACTACAGTCAAACCAGAAAAGCTTGTCACAAATTCCCCGCCAAATTGCTCGAGTTTTGCGGGCAAAATCGGTCAAGCTTTTCCGATTTGACTGTACCATCTTTTCCAATGAGTATGATTTGAAATTTGAGAGACTATGTATATCAATGTGCTGCAGTCATTTAGAAAACCTTGTCCCACCTCCCCCGCCGATCGCTCAAGTTCTCCCACTCGCTGCGCTCGAAGCGCGCGAGAGTCAGCGAGGGACTTCGTTGAGATTAGCTCGAAGCGTGCGTCAGTCAGCGAGGGACTTCGTTGAGCTTAAATCTGACTTGAAGGTCATCAGCAGCTTACTCAAATCAGATTTTACCTCTTTGGTCATCGAATTTACAATCAAATTCTTATTGACCAGCTTCTTGATCGATTTCATTTTGTTGCTTTCATCTTTTTCATTCTCCGATCCCAGTCATCCAAGCTTTAAAGCAACTCACCATGTCTTCTCAATCTACCACCTCTCCCCCGGATCAAACCAAATCGACAAAGAAAATCAATCGACCCTTGGCCTGTTGTTCGGCTTGTCGCTTGAAACGTACTCGATGCGATCGAGTTGAGTATATGTGCTTCGACAGTTGACAACCTGGTTTTATTTAATTGACACTTGACTTATCTTCGCCACGACTGTTTTCACAGGCCATACCATGTGCAGCTTGTGAAAAGCGTAAGAGTGAATGTAACTACAATGGCGCAAGGCATCCGTCGATGTGCGTTAGAGCATCTCCAATCGTTGGATTAACGGGGCGGATTAGTTAAATATTTAACTAAACCCGACCCGAAATTCACAGCCGTGAATCTTTAGGCCGGGGTTAGTTAAATATTCTTTAAAAAATCTTCAAGCGGCGTCAAATTTACTCCCAGCTAACCCCGGCGTTAACTAACTCCACGACCCTTGATTTAACCCCGTCTCACCCTATCAAACCCTGCACCCACCTCACCAACACCCACACCACTCCACATCACTCTCACCACGCCTCATCACACACCTCATCAAACCTTCTCTTGATGGATGGATCCACTCCGAGTACTACACGAGCAGCCAGGACTCGATCACCCAACTGGACCGTTTTAGAAGACGAGCAATTGGCAATTTCGTGGGTCACTGTCAGCGAGAACACGATTCAATCAAATAATCAGTCTGGTGCGATATTCTATGGAAAGGTGGCTGAGCATTACAACGAAGCAGCCAAGAACCACAACTGGATCGAGCGGACAGATAAACAGGTCCAGAACCAGTGAGTTTATATGACTCACCTTTGACTTTGTGACCTTGAACTGATTGGATCTTTAGTTGGAAACCTCTGAACACCGCTACGTTGAAATTCTCCGCCATCTACTGGCCAATTGTCCGGAACCCTCCTAGCGGATCCGCTCCCAGCGACTTCATGGGTATAGCTAAGAAGGAGTACTTTAATCAAACTAAGGAGGTGTTTGAAGATGAGGTGGCGTGGCAGGTGTTGCATCGACATCCTAAATGGGCTCAACCCATCGATCCGCTCAAGAAATCCTCAGTCAACACTTCAGTCTCATCCTCCATCAGCTCGCCTATCATTTCTACACGTTCATCACCACCACCACCTTCTTCCGACCCGTTTGAACGTCCTATTGGCCAAAAAAAAGCCAAACGACAACGCCAAGAGGCTGACTTAGATACAGAGAGGACTGAAGAGCTCAAGCGAGCTTCAGACATTCAGGAACGAAAGCTTGCGGTGCTAGAACAAGGACACAAGCTCGCTGATCGTGCTCTTCAAATCGATGCTGAGGCTAAGAGAAGTCACGCTTATTACGAGGATATGAAAGTGTTAACAACTTCTCCCGACTTATGTCCAGATGAAGAGTCCAAAGCTGTTTTAAAGTTGATGAAAAGTAGATTGTTGAAGAAGTACTCAAATGATGAAGAGGGTCAAGCTGATGATTAGATTAGTAGTTTAAACTTAACCTCAATAGTTTTTATTAGTTGTATCCGATTTAGTGGATCTCATCTCATCTCATGTTTTACACTTTTATTTTTTTTGTTCACTCGATTTTTTTTGTTCTATCGATTTGGCTGCTCAATACTATAGCTGAAATACAAGTCATTTTCATGTATGCTTTTAACAACTTGGCATCTAACAACTTGGCATGTGAGAGAATATGAAAATAAGAAAGATACACAATCCATCTTCATGAGATATGTGAAATCGAGACAAACTACATGATAACAAGTTAGTAAAACTTGTAGGAAGTGATGAGTTCCTAATCATTACGACCAGAGCCCCGTTTCATCCACATCGCCGTCTTGAGATCATTCATCAAGCGTAAGTGTCGATCACGATCTCGTAGTTGTGACATGGTAACATAGTACTCAGCAAGCGTATAAGATAACTGTGGATCGACTCGATTTGGATGGATTCTAAGGCCGTGTTTTGTCCGATAGTCTATGGTGACTTGATCAAGTTCACCACGATCCTCTACAACCATGTTGTGGAGGATGATGCAACATAAGATCACCTCAGTCATTTCCTTGAGACTCCAAAGCCGACATGGTTGAGTTAAGATATGCCATCTCGCTTGAAGCACACCAAAAGCGCGCTCGATATCTTTCCTCAGCGCTTCCTGCAGCTTGCAGAAATGTCGACTCGCTTCATCCAAAGGTTTTTGAATGGATTTGATGAGGACGGGCCAGGGAGGATAGATCCCGTCTGCTAGATAGTATCCACGAGTGTAATGGTTCCCATTCACCTCAAAATGGACTTGATCTTCAGAACCTGGAGGGTAGAATCAGTCAGATCTATCCTACATAATGTAATGCGAAAAACCTACCATTGATGAATGAATCAAACAACGGACTCTTCTGTAAGACATTAATATCATTTAGAGCTCCTGGTGTCCCAAAGAAGGCATGCCAGATACGTAGGTTTTTTGAAGCAACAGCCTCCAGTATAACTGAGGTTCCTTTTTCTTTCCCCTCGTACTGACCAGCCCACGCTTGAGGGCAGTTCTTCCAAAGCCAGTGCATGCCATCTATACTCCCTTTACATCCTGGGAAGCCTCTCATTTCATTTTCCTTCAGTATTACTTCCAGCTCTTCAGAGTTTGGAGGTCGTAGATATTCTTTTCCATAAATCTCGATGATATCGTGTACAAAATGTTTTAAACATTCTACTGCAGTACTTTCTCCAATTTTCAAGTAATCATCTAAACCATCAGCAGCAGTTCCATACGCCAACTGTCTCAGTGCAGCGGTGATCTTCTGGGTTGTTGAAAGTCCTAGTTGCAGACAGCAATCCTATATGAAATGTAGATATTAAATTAGATTGAAGAAACTTTTGGAAGATTTAGATTTGGATAAACTTACACGACGTTGTATCCAGTATATGCTGTGTCCTTGCAGGTCAGTAGCCAGTCTCTGAAATAGTTCTGGACTCATCCGGAACCGTCTTTCAAATAAATGGCGTGGATACAACGGCGATTTGACAAAGTAATCCTCTTGAAGAAGTTTATCGGCAGCAATTCGATCGCGTTGAATCCGTGCACGTGTGTTCTGATGGCTGGGTGTAGATGGATTGTTGATGAGATCCATGATCAACTGATCATAATCTTCATCTTTGAGTTCTTCATCAATTGATTTCAAGTGTTGTTCTAAAACAGACGATGCGTCCATTGAGAAGATGATTTGAGTTTGGGCTTCAAAAAGAATTGTGTAGCCTCAAACTAAAGCCAACGGTTGTGGGCACAGTCTGTATATTTGGATTAACTAGGATTAACTCCATCCTTACAGACAACGACTGTGGGAACTGGCTTTAGTTTAGTTGACCCTGACTAAAGATCTCTAAGTTTACCCACGCTAAAGCCAAATTTGACGCCAACGATTGGAGATGCTCTTACTTTCTTCCAATCTTTTGAACCTATCATTGTCAATACTTTTTACTGATACCAAATGTACCTTGCTTTAGACTGGCCACACGCTGTGCTACAGACCGTGAGAGACAAGATCAGTATGTTCGAGAATTTGAAATTTGAGAGACTTTTTAATTCCATGTCTTCTCTCATTTTGCTGATCATCATTCGATGCCAGGAACTGAGGCAGAGAATGTCCGGGACCAATGGGCACTTGACCCGGACCACCGAGTGAAAGTATATAGGAGTTTTGGTCCCAGAGTTGATGAGATTGAGCCTGAATAAAAATATCAATGTGCTGCAGTCATTTTAGAAAAACTTGTCCCACCTCCCCCGCCAATCGCTCAAGTTCTGCGGGCAAAATTGTTTGAGCTTCTCTAGATCGACTATACGCAGATATAGTATCGTAATTGTGCTATTGTCTTGTCGAAGGGATGTGTTGATAAGTTCGTTTTTCTTGAACGCCCCCAAGAATTCAATATGGTCTGCGCTGGTCCCCGTGCACCAGCTTTTTGCGCAACTTGCGTATATGAAAAAGTGGAGACTCGAGGCTGATGAAGTTTCAATAATTCCTCAGCTTCCAATAAATGTATATGTATCATTTAGCGACCTCCACTCGTATTTTGAACTCGTATCGCACAAAGTTTCACAACTCTTTCTGAAGTTAACTGCACTTTCGTCTTGATGGGGCTTTGATCTGCGCCAAAAAGAACATTCTATGTTTTGGTGACATTTGAATCATGCATGTATCTGCAATAGAGATCATACATACATTGCATGCATACCCCTTCAATAGATTCTGGAACGGGTTTGGCGCGCGGACGTGGCCGCGCAGAGAGGGCTTGTTCAAGCTAAGGTTTGGAGGGACTCTGAAGGATTACAATTTGATACAATCAATATTCGTAATACAGGTACAGGAGGGTACAGGATGTCAAATTAAAGAGAAGATTGTTTGATAAGTTGATGATGTTTAAAGGGAAGCAAATCACATTTGATGATCAGGAGTATGATTGATGATAGTTATATCTGACTTGAAGGTCATCAGCGGCTTACTTAAATCAGATTTTACCTCTTTGGTCATCGAATTTACAATCAAATTCTTATTGACCAGCTTCTTGATCGATTTCATTTCATTGCTTTCATCTTTTTCATTCTCCGATCTCAGTCATCCAAGCTTTAAAGCAACTCACCATGTCTTCTCAATCTACCACCTCTCCCCCGGATCAAACCAAATCGACAAAGAAAATCAATCGACCCTTGGCCAGTTGTTCGGCTTGTCGCTTGAAACGTACTCGATGCGATCGAGTTGAGTATATGTGCTTCGACAGTTGACAACCTGGTTTTGTTTAATTGACAATTGACTTATCTTCGCCACGACTGTTTTCACAGACCATACCATGTGCAGCTTGTGAAAAGCGTAAGAGTGAATGTAACTACGATGGCGCAAGGCATCCGTCGATGTGCGTTACTTTCTTCCAATCTTTTGAACCTATCATTGTCATTACTTTCTACTGATACCAAATGTACCTTGCTTTAGACTGGCCACACGCCGTGCTACAGACCGCGAGAGACAAGATCAGTATGTTCGAGAATTGGAGCAGAGAATCCGTGTACTTGAACAGGCCAAATCGCCCTCACCCTGTCCTGTTACCGAATCAACCACTCGGCCTGTTTCGATTGACTTTGGTATCGATGATCTCACCCATAACTTAAGTCAAATCACTTTGGGACCTCGTTTACGGGCTCCCAAGCCGCAATATCATTTGCAAACCGAAATAGAGACACTCATCGCCTCCTCTAAGAATCGCCCCGCTGTCTTTTTCGCCCAAACTTCTTTCAATATGAGCTTAATCCCCAACGGACCGCCTACGACAATCGAAAGCTTGCGAGAAAGTTTACCGTCACCTGAAGAGCTCGCCGAATTGGCGGGGTACTTTTTTGCTTACCTGAATTCCGCATTTCCTTGTATCGAATCGTCAAGTTGGCCTGATGCGGTACTCCTTTGCTATGATCTTCACGATGTCAATCGAATTTCACCCGAAGACATTCATCGCTTTGCAGCAGTCCTCGCCGTGGCGGCTCATGGACTCCTGCACAAAGCTAGCGTAAACAGCGATGCATGGCTCACCCCACATCACCAACAACAGACGGCTCGGGCCCATCGTTGGTTTCATCTTGCTCTCGGTGCGCTACAACTCGAAGAAGGCGCCATTTTCACCCGTCCTACCGTTTGGGGCATCCGCGCCATGGCTCTCTTAGCTAATGCACAATTCTCGTACGAAAAGGTTTCATGACTCATCTCGATACATTTGGATATCTTACCATAAATCAAACCATCTCATTTATATGTTCTGTTCGGTGACGCGACCTTTTTGGAATCTGTTGAAGACCTCAAGATCTCGATCATGGATTATTCTTTTGGAGTCTAACTACCAACTTGGCTGCAACGATTGGCTTGTTCAATGAGCCTCCAGGATTTGATGCTAAAGAAGTTACAGCTGTAGAGTTGGAGTCAAGGCGCCAGATGGCTTGGGCTATTTGGGCACTAAATTGGTGAGACATTTCTTGTTAATTGAAGGAATGCGAACATATACAAACATCATGAAACTGTTTCAGGGCCGGAGAAGCAGTCGTTGGTCAGATACGACAGCCAGTTGATTGTGAGCGCTGTCTTCATCAGGGTTTTTTCCCTCTCTCACTTGCATCTGACTTCATTTTGGTTACAGTCACCATTCATACGGTGAAGCTACCGGGGACTGTGGATTGTGTCCTTGATCCAAATGATGGCTGGCCAGTGGACCCACTCCTAGGTGAGAGATCATCAGATCACTGTTAAAATAATATAATACGCCACTTGTTGATTGTGAGTTGTCAAGTTGATCAATTTAGCAATGCGTCGAGCATGCGCGCTATGTGATCGAGCTTTGTACGAAACCACATCAAAACTCCTGACGGGTCGATCGGCCACTTATGAAGAGTGGGTCAATTTCTACATTTCTCGCCTTTTGTAATCAATTTCGTTTGCCTCTACCTCAATGGCAGTGTGCTGCCTTCATATCCTTAAAACTCGGAAACATTTCTCATCCGGTCCTCATTCAGCCAAACATATCCATTGATCTGTCCTCTTCCAATCAAGATCGTGACATGGATAGAGGCTCTGGATGCACTTGTCATTTGAAACCCCTAAGCGCCTTCCTGGCCAAAGAGCTAATCCTACATTGACCTTGCCTCTATTTGTGTTAATGTTGAGCCAGGTTGTTAAAAGTGGAGCGCAGGATCCTGGACATCGAGGAGTCTCTACCTGATCGATTGGGGCTCGTGATAAGTCCTGATAGACTTTCAGTTCGGCCAAAACTTACCCTCGATCCATCCAGCGCGGTTATGTGCTACGTAAGCAATCATCAATTGTCGCGTCACTCCGTTTGAGAGCTGATAAGATCTTCTACAGTCGATCTGGCAACGTTTGTCTGTGGTCAGACTTCGTGTTCATCGACCCTTCTTGTTTCCAAAAGAGGGTGTCCCTGAATCACAACAAAGACGTCATATACATGGTCAGTTTTCATCTTTTGTCCATCCATGTCCTGACGACCTGTTGACAATAGCTTAATACCCTTGAAACAGCTTTAGAATCCATATGTCGAAGGCATTTACTAATTTGCAGTCATCTCCCACACATAATGATGATGCACCCTCTGGTAATCTATGCTTATATCAACACTGCCCTATCGTGTGGAATTGCACTCTTGTCTTGTGAGTATAGTTCCAATTAACAAGCAAACCGGGCATTACTCAACACATTCAATCTTATCTGGTTCTCATCTTCCACCTTCATTAATCAATGATATGAAGTCCCAGACATACTCGATACATCTTTCTTCGTATCAGAATTGCAGAAACTCCTTGAGATATTTGCGACTGCTCAAAAGACTGTGTCCTCAAGTCTGGCATCCAGCGCCTCCACAGTAATTTCCTACTTGATAGAGCGAGCTCGACACAAGGATCCTCAGGCTCCACCGCCTCTCAAGCGAGCCACTGGAACTTTCCAGGCGACACCGCGCTCGAGTCCCCATTCTACTCACGCCGAAGATCTTAGACATAAGGTGCGAGTCTTCTCGATTGCGTTTTTTGGGGGATGCAAGCTGATTATTTTTGCCACCAGTCTCCACTCACTTCGAACTCGGGATCGGATGAAGGACCTCTGTCCCATTCAAGAGTACACTCTCTTGAGCAATATCAGCGCCCGATCAGACACTTCCCAGCCCTTGAACAAACTTCGGAACAAATGACCGTTCAGAATGATCACATCCCGGATGCAGCATCTGGGCCTGTCTCTGCTCATGCGTACTCGATTGGAGGAAGTTCCGATCCCCCGATCATCGATATCAATGCGATGGCTCATTTACCCTTTACCTTCAGATCACCTTCACCGTTTCCGACCATGAATACCTCCATTAATCAGCCATCTGGCTCAGGGCCTTCATTCCCAGAAGAAAACATGGAGGATCAAAGTATCCCATTAAATTTATTCGATCCACAATTTCTAGCACTCTTCGGACTCACTTCTACTCGAAGTCATCAAGCAGGCACACCGCAAGATAATAGCACGCACCCTCCTCCGAGACTGGAGAGTCAAGCCTCGTATACTAACTCGACTGAAGCAACCAATTATGAATCACATGAGATAAGAGATCGAATACAAAGTTTAGAAGGATCGAGTGGAGGAAATTCAGTAAATGCGATTAGTCCTCCGATGAACTCAGATCCTACGACATCTTTTACTTCACCTCCTACTCAAGTCGGAATCAATCCGAACTCAAAGGAATCATTCAATCATGAATCACACAGAAACAGAGATCAAATACAAAGCCCCAAAGGATCTAGTGGAGGAAATTCTGGAAGTATGACCAGTCCTCCGATGAATTCAGGTCCTATGACACCTTTTACTTCACCTCCTAATCGAGTTGGAATCGAGGATGGAAGGCTAGGAGTTGGAGGTGAAGAACTTTTTTGGAATTATATCAGAGGAGAAAAGTAAGAGCAGTGGTAGATGTGTTTAGGTGGATTGCATGGATAAAATTCGAGTTTTCTTTTTTTATGTGTATGTATTGCTTGGTTATCTGAGGTTTGATGATCTTGCCAATACACCCTTGTAGTAGTAATATGGACAGATACTTTAGTAGCTAGAAACACCAAAGGAATCAATATTATCTGTTCAATGTGTTTTAACGATCCATCCATCCCCTTCTCAATGGAACCACAATCTCGAAGAAAAATCTCTAGACTCCAAAGACGGATCCGTGTTTGATTCACAATCATATTCGCAATCCAGTCAGGCAAGTCGTAGTATTGCGTCCACAAGGAAGAGTATACTTATCAAGTGTGCTACTGCATCCAACGATCTCAAACCATCAGATATCCTCATCGACCGATTTCAGGTCTGCAAGTCCGTTTGTGATCCTTTGTTAACATTCTTCAAAGGTCAGCTCCGAATTTGTCGACTTTTTTTTCAGAACCCGGCGTGAGGAAGCCTGACATCATTACGCTGATACGTAGGTGTCAATCGGGTGGAACAAGAGACTTCAAACGAGCTTCACCGTTCCGTTTGGGAAATGCTGTCCATGACGTCCTACCGCTGAGAAGTAGCCAGTTTTCGGACGAAGGCGGTCTATAGGACATCTTATACGGTGTCCGAGAAAATACTCGAATCATAGCTGAGGAGCACGATGCAATGGCAAAGATCGTCCATTCCTCAATCGTTCTACACCTCCAAAAACTCAAAACCGAGGTGCGACTTCACATTTGTAACATCATAGAAGACACGGGGGAATTGCCAAGTTTGGTCGCTAGCGAGCGAGAGTCGTCCACTCGACTCATCACATCCTTGACTCGTTCCATTGCGTTCGCTACACACAGCCCTTTGAACCTTGAAGGCCGACAAGACCTATGGCTTTGCAATCAACTTGTAGTCGAACATCTTCGAAAAGAAGTTCAAGAAGGGAACATGCTGCAGAAAAGGAAATTGATCATGCAAACCAATAGCGCTCAGTTCGAAGAAGGTTTAGTTCGGTTCGTTGATGCCACTTCATGAGAACCTGTTCAAATCTTGAGATGCTACATTTTACTCATTGCGCCCTTGTCCTTCTTGTAGTGCTATCCGAAGTATCTGGGCTGTTTTCCACGATAATCGTAAATCGGGTGAAGTGTACAACCGTTGGGTGACTTCCGCTAATTTGATCGATGTCATCTCACCTACCACCCAATGGGAAGCATTCAGCTCTCGCGAGGACTGTTTGCTTGACCCTGATACACCTCTTCGAAACCCCAAAAGATAAATTATCCTGGGATGGGAGATCCTTGTACGATTCCGATTCATCAAGGAATACTTTACCATAAAAAGAGGTAGGACTTCCGATCTCAATATCTTCCTAGTCTCTTCCTATAAATGTTTGCGTTATATGAAGTTATTTTTGATTTTCGATTACCTACATACAGATATACAAGGCCTTACGCTGAAGGCTATTTTGTCATAACACCAGCTGGCTATATGCATGAATTCAAATCATCTGACATAAAAAAAGTTCAACACCACAATTATCTATTTTCTTACTCGAATGTACTTTAGGAGCTCCAACTTACTCTCAATCACGACCACAATTTAATTTGATTCTTGGAAAAAAAAATCAATCGAGAGCTTATGCATTTCGTGCTAAGAATCATGAGGAATTAATGATTTGGTGGAATGCTTTAAAATAATTATGTAAAGTATATTTGATCAGTTCTATTCCTCAAGCGAGAGGTGTAGATGTTCAGGCCGCGGTACGAGTAGTAGGTTCGTAAGATGATTGATAATCTAGTGCAAGTTCAAAATAAACAAATCAAGTTTTCTGACCTACGATGTTTTTTACAGGTTATGGAGCCGAAGAGGAGGAGGAAGAATTGTTTGAAAGTGAAGAAGAATTTCACAATCGAATGGAGGGTGTGGAGATAGTGCGGCTGGAAGCTCGCAGAGGTAGTTCTCAAGGGGATGAGACTTTACTAATGGCAACGAGAGATTTAGCTCGACACTATCCGGGGTAATAAAATCGCCTTTCCCTTATATCTTTTAATACGAACTGATACCTTTGGCATCGCAGTCTAGCGCGATCTCAGACATACCAAATTACCATACAAGCCTCGACCCCAGAAGTGAAGCCTGGCCTGCTGGTGTAAGTCACACTTTGGTTCTCTCAATGGGCCTAGTGCTGAACAAGCCCTTATCTTTTCAGAAGGAAGATGGCGCCTTGGAAGAAAATGGAATCCTGGCAAACGTCACATAGAAAACACGATTGATGGAAACCATTGGTCATCACATATAACCTTCAAATTTGAAGTATATGCGATGGTTTCAATCGTCATCCATCATTGCTGACCAGGTTGGACTAGAACCTTTGGTCGCGATGCTCTCACTCAACTGACATGAGTGAGAGCAGTTAACCCCAAAAAACCTCCCGACGCGATTGAGTTTTGGATATCAAGTCAAGGCATGGGCATGTCTTCGAACATGCCTTGACTGGTAACACGTTCGATGAATGGTGGACCCAGGTACAGAAGTTGCAATCCTCCTCACGGTGTAGCCCAGGTGTGAGCAAGTGCAGGCGCTAAGTTCAACACCTGCATCACACAGACAAACAATACCAAAATGTGAGCCATCAATTATGATTGAGGGTGCTCTCCTCTGTGAGTTTTGAAGGTGACACGCACGTCATACACAGGCCAGGGGGGCAGACTAGCACCATTTAAACGGTGCTAGTCTACCCCATGTACGCTGGCTAGCACAAAATCCACATTCACCCTTGGCTACAACTGAACTATGTAAAAATAAGTGAATGAGCAGAGATTGCCAACATCATAGTGATAATTGTTTAGAAAGTGAATGATTTAGAAAGTCAAGATCAGTGAAATTATTGAGTGATTTATGGGTGACAAATCAACTGTAAAACACCAAAGTAATAATTGTTAAGTGAATTATTTAGAAAGTGAAGATCAGTGGAATCAAAGAGTGATTTACTGGTGACACATGTCCTGCAACCTCTGTAACCCTAAACATGAATATTAAAACAAATAAGAATCCATGTCATGAAGAACGCAAGCAGGAAAAGTACATAGGTGTCACTCTTTGGTCCTGGGTAGGTTTACCTCAAGAAAAGTATGTATTTTCCACAGACCCATGTTAATTGTGAACAAAATTGCAAGACTTGACAGAATATGATCAACACACAGACCGAACCGCAGGGAAAAACGGCCTACGGTGCGGTGCGGTACGGTCTGGAGACCGTAGGCTGCAGTACGACCTGCTACGGTCAAACCGTACCGTAGTCTGGTATTTGCCAGGTAATTAGGGGGGGTTTCCGTACCGCTGTCTCCGTATTCCGGAGGTATCACCACCGTAGTTCGGAGTGCAGTACGGTCACTCCGGTATTTGTATACACCCTCAAGTTTTGCTAAGTTTGATGGTAAAGTCCAAGGAGTAGTTGTCCAAGCCAATAAACAAGTATTTGGATCCTCCAATAATGGAAACAAAACTGTGACTGCTGGATCATTCACATCATGATAATCACTTCCGGCTTCAAAATTTGAAAGTGGTGTAGTACAAGAAGTCGAATAAGGCATTACCCTACTTGCTCTATAAACTTGACCTTTTGTTCAAAGTTGTTTAAATACCCACCACATACTTTCCATAAAATCCACATTTAACATTTTATAATCATTATCAAAATCGATCCATCTCCCCATTCTTTCAATTGTTGATCTCCATTCTGATGAATATCTCATCACGATCGATCTACATTCTGCATTATAAGCTTTGATTCTGATCTTCATCACATCATCTTTTGATTTGATTTGGATTTTCTTGTCAATTTCATGTTCCACTGGTAATCCATGACAATCCCAACAAAATCGACGTTCAACATAATGACCATCAAGAAGAGCAAATCTAGTCACAATATCCTATTATGAGAAAAAAATGTTTGAGTTTAGTTAAATGATCGATCAGAAAAGAGAATGAAAGATTTTAGAAAAACCAACTTTGACAATACCCATCAAAAGATGACCATAATGAGGTAAACCAGTAGCAAAAGGAGGACCATCATAACGGTTCCATCAAGTACGATGTCCTTTTTTATTTTCTTTATGTCTTGTTTTTCCAAATCAATATTTTTTGTCTTTTCTCGTTTTTTTGAGCATAGTCGTCCGTAGCCTACGGTGGCTACGGTTCGGTCCGCTACGGGCTGACCGTACCGTAGTGATGGGTTTGAGCTAGTAGTATTATTGACTACACTACGGTTACGGTGAGGTTTAGAAATTAAACCTCATCGTACCGTCGCCGAGGCCGTAGTGCACTTCACTACGGGCCGGTTTGTGTGTTGATATGATTTTGAGATTATTGAAAAGCCCAAAAAACCCCACACCACCATCCAAGTTGATCTTTGGTTTGGGTCCATCCACAGGTCCACCCCAAATTAATGGCAAGATTTATTTGTTGGTTTGAGTGGCAGGTGATCAATAATGGTGACATAAATGGTCAGATAAGGAAAAAGATAACAAGTTCATGATTTTGTGACCACAAGATTGGGTGTGTAAATGAGTGTCCCAGCAAATCATCTGTTACTGATGTTACTGATATCAAATTGATAGAGTAAGTAAACTTGTTGGTTTCAAGTGTTTACCCCAGCCTTCAAGATGAGATGAGTGGTCAAATAAGGCACCATATAACTTGTAATGTAAAGGGTTTTTGGTAATGAGAACCACACTGGCGGGTACACATATGGGTAACATTATCACACTGATGATCTGTGACCAAAGATGAACCATAGTGCAAGTTTGTTGGTTCCAAAGAGCTGTCCTTGCTTGGAGAATGAATGGTCAAACAAGGACAAAGACAACTTGTTCATAATGTTAACCAAACTTGTGGGTGGGTCTGTCACATTGTCATCATAGAACAATAACCTTCTTGGTTTCAAGAGTTTTCCCGGCCTTGATACAGAAATTGTCAGAGGAGGACAAAGATAAGTTGACAAATAAAGTGAACTTGTTGAAGGTTTTTTGTAAAGTGTAGCGACTATAGGGTCAAACAGTCACTCTATTCACAGGGGCAAAAACAGATGCTCACATAGGTGTGAGCGTTGAAATTTTTGTGTTTTCTTCAATGTTTGTTCAATTTTACTTCCCATTTCTTTCCCATTTCTTTCCTATTTCTTTCTGCTTGTCAACTGATTTTGGGATCAACAGGAACTGAGCAGACAAACTAAGCCTTCCTCAGGCGTTATTCCTGAGCAAAGAAGTCTGAGGAAGGGCTGATCCATCTGCTCAGCTGATCCTGAGCGGCATTCCCTGGTTCAGTAGGTTCCAAGGGACACCACTAATGATTAGATTAAGGGCTGAGCTGAACTGAGTATTCCCTTAGCTAAGTCTCTGCAGCATCTCTTGGACGGATCACAGAGGGCCAGGCTTGCCTCAAGCTTCATGGCTCCGGAATGAAGCCTGAGGCCCATCTGCTCAGTTCAACTGAGCTGCTCAGCTATTCCTCAGTGACATTCCTGAGATCAGAAGGATCCAGAGGATTTTACTGCTCATTGGCTTAGGGGCTGCTCAGCTAGTCCTGAGGGGAATTCTTGGGATCAGAGGGATCCAAAGGATGTCACTGAGTGTTGGCTGAGGGGCTGCTCAGTTGATCTCAGCCCCTCAGTGTGAACAGCTTTATCCAGGGAAAATCACTGAGGATTAGTTGCACAAATGGGATGGCTATTTTATCAGGCTTCATTCTTTAGCAAAGAAGTCTGAGGGAAGTCTGGGCCATCAGCGATTCAGCCAAGGGATGCTACTGAGTATTTGCTGAGCAGCTCAAAAGGGACACCTGTGTTCAGGCTTCTTCACTAAGAAATGAAGCCTGAGGAAGGTATAGTTCATGTGCTCATTTTCATTTTGAACAAATTGCTGAGTATGCAGTGACTCATGAGCTGATCCCAAGTACTCATCTGGACTCAGCTATTGCTCATCCAAGATGAAAATGGGCCTTCTCAAGAAATGTCAAGCAAAATATAAGCAACACAGGCTGATCACCTGAACACAACCAAAATTGCAAATTGAATAAATCTGAAAGAAAATGAATCTTTTTTGGAGAATTCAAAAAAGTCTACAATGCTCACATGTATGTGAGCATCAATTTTGGCCCCTGTGATTGGGACACATTGTCATTGAAAAAAAGCAATGTAATGTTTTTGAGGCTCACAACAAGTTTGAGCTTGGGGAAACTAGACTACCCAATATTATAATTGTCCAAGGTCATGGTGGACATGAGGCCATCCATGAACTTGGACAATGAATGCATCCCAAAATCAGCACTAAGAAGAAGTGAGACTGGATCCTTTCATAATCTTGTCATCAATCAAGATGATTTTAGAGATACATCAGGTGTAAACTGAGATGATTTGGTACATTACATCCTGATGTTGTGTGACTCATCCACATCACATAATTACACAGTGTCCACCAAAAATGCGCCCGACGTCCGGTGAGCTCGCTCTGACGCAGATGTCCAACATTCGTGCAGTTTTTGTGCGCGGGTATTTGGAAACTGAGCTTCTCAGTACCAACACCACTCAGGGTAGGTCAGCATCAACTCATACTCATGATTTCAACCGCTCAAGCCTGAAGCCTGAGCTATTGAATTTAACATGATGAAGATCCATGAACCAAGTAAAACACTGTCCTCAACGATTGCGTTGGGTAAGGCCGGGTTGTATTACTCTTTACCCCTAAATGTGGGCCTTTGTAATGTGATTATGTACCTAATCGCATGATGAAATAACTTGAATTACACACATATGTACTTACATTTGATTCTTAAAGAAGACGATCAATTCCTTTCAGAAAATGAACATTTAAGAGAACTGCTGGGGATAGCTAATGATATGAATCTACAAGCTGGACAATCCAATCCGTCTAGACCATCACAGGATGCTCATACTGCTAAACTGAATAGTGTAGTAGAAGAAGAGGAAGAAGAAGCAGGTGAAGTGATGGATGAGAGTCTTGATGGGGATCAATGGTTAGGAGGAAATTCATGATGGAAAGTAAACGAATTTTCATCTTGAGATACCTGTCAAAATCAAACTTTTTGTCAGTGTTTGTATCTGCGTGTCCCTGCTCAGCGCACGGACCCCGAGCTCAGCTCGAGATTTTGCATTTTTCCAACATTTCTGAGAACGACTGTACTAAAGATGCTGAAATTCCAATTAAAGTGGAAGATAATAAGGATCCAATTGAATCCTTATCTAGTATAGATCAATCTCAAATCAATCATCGACAACCAATGGAGCTAACTTAACAAAGTCCCTGTCATCTGCCAGACTTCAGAAGCAAGTTTGTCTAGAACTTGCTTCCGAAGTCTGGCAGATGACAGGGACTTTGTTAAGTTAGCAATGGAAGATAATTTAGAAAGTAATTCCATCATCATTTCAGAAGGATCCAATTCAACAGTAGAAGTGAATCTGATCTGATCAAAGAATCTCAACACCTTTGACATTGATACAAGCAATTGAAATCTTCAACTGTCCCTCCTATGCTAACACCAGAAGAAGAAGAAAATTGTTTATTCAAATTGGCTAATGTATTGGCTACCGCATTTGAAATGTTTCAAGGTGCTCCAATCAAGGCGATTCAAAATATGGAAGCTGTTTGGGGTGTTAAAGATACTAAAAAGATTCTGACTTCTCAATGTAATGCACTTGAGATGGCCATTGTTAGTGAAGCTAAAAAGTTCATCTGAAGTCCTGCTTGCGAACGAGTGATTGGTAATCATCTCTTTCTCTTTCTCTCAACCCTCATCTTCTTTTATTAATTCAAATATGTTTCTTTACATTTCACGGAAGCAATTTGGACTGTAAAGATTACTTATACTTCAACGGCTATCTTTGATATTGTCTCTGATCGATACAAACTTTGACCGGTTTCACTTTACAATCCAAGAGATGCACCTTTACTCAATCATTATTGTTTAGGAGTTCCACGTAATAGAGCTGCTCTAGGTTATTTGAATTATGGTATTCTTATCATCTCATATGTATCCACAATGGAAACTAGAGCATTGAATCGAATGAATGGATATGAGATTTGGTTTAATATCTTTACCTTGGGAGTCACATTAGATAAGACTGGATCAATCTTAGAACATGGTTGGTGTGTATTTATAGCAAATCTTTGGAATGGATTTGATGTTGCCTTCATCTTGGGTTATTTGATTTATTTATCTTTAAGAAGTTCTGGTTTATTTTATTTATCTCATTGTGATGTGAAATCTTATTAGTCAATTGAACAGTCTCATCAAGTTTTATCTTGTTTAGCTATCTTTGTGTTTCCTAGACTAGCTTTCATTACACTTTTGGATGATCTTTTGATTTTATCTTTTAGATCGATGATGAGTCATTTTGTGTTTTTAATGTTATTAGGAGCTTGGTGTTTTCTTGGCTTTTTATATTCACTTTATATGCTTCAAGTTAGTTTAACTGAAGCCGGTGAAATGGAAAAATATTCAATCGATCAAATCGCTAAACGGATGGTTTACATTTTCTTTGGATTAGATGCTACTGGCATCACGAATCACGATTGCTCACGAGTTACCCAAATTCATATCTTCATATATGTTTCAAAAATACATATATGGTTTCTCGGAAGAAGAATGGTGATCCAAAAGTTTGAGAGACACCACTCAGGAAAGAGGCTTTCCAGTTTCCGAATGACTTCAGACCCCTTGTTTGGGGTTCAAATTTTCTTTGAAGGCGAAGAAAGGCCCTGCATACTGTGCAAGTAGTTATGAGCACCTCAGCCCGCGCCCGCGCTGCGCGTTCTGACCGGTAGTCTTAGGTCATGAGACACAAAGGTTTTACCGGCCTTGTGTGGCTCAATTTCATCTGCGCAGCGCGGGCGTGTTCTTTTGGAAAGCACAAAAATTACACACTTCTGATGAAATTCCAAGCTCACCGGACGTCGGGCGCGTTTTTGGTGGACACTGTGTTACCAGTTGACATGATAAAGAGAGTCTTTTCATCATACATTTAATTCATATGGGCAAGAGTAAGTATTCACCCACTATCCACCAAGAGGGCTGTTTGGGAAAGTTAGGCAAGCGCTGAGAGATTGAAAAGAATATATATGGACCCAAATAAGTTCAGTCATGACATATATGTACACTGGGAGAAGATAGTTCCACTAAATATCAGATACACATGTATGTGGTATTGCCCCTGATTACCACACTACGGGCATGGGAGTCTATAAGGATTGGATTATCAGGAGCCAGCCACTTGAATGCAATGCAACCTTGTTTTATGAGAGGTGACCGTTCTTTGTTTTTACTGTAAGTGAATATCAAATGTTCCAGCACTCTCCTCTCCCACCTGTAAAAATAGTGCAAGATCAGGATTAGAGTGAGGGGTGGGTAAGCATGTGTCTGGAAAATGGGCAGTGAATTTCATAGCCATCATACCTGTGACTGACACTGACTGTATGATGGCTTGACTGACTGAGGTGGATATGGGCATGCATCCATGCAGAATGGTTTTTTTTGGCCATGAGTTTGTTGAAAGTACCTTGTGCTTTAACAGGGGTCTCAACTTAATTGGGTGCTTGGTGATCCCTGCCATTTACCATCCACCCTTGCCTGTCAACCTTGACATGGTTTATGTTCAAGGGCTGAGGAAATCATGCTACTCTGCATTGGCAATCAGATAGTTATTGCAGTGGGGTAGTCTGTGGGCCTAAGATGCAGATGTACACCCATGCAAACTGTTCAAGTACCAACAACTACAACTACATTGTGCTGATATTTTTGTAGTATACACAATCACAATTATCAGCAAAAAAAGAGATAACAGACACAAGAAGGCAAAAAAAATAGGAAGGCAAATATGTACAGTCATGGAAACAATTCAAAACCAAAAGGAACACTAGCAAATAGTAAAAACATTCTAGTAAAAACATAACAACATTCTAAAAAATTCATGAGAAATGACAAGGTAACCAAAACAGACACCATCAATCAATGTCAAATGATAATAACCCATCCACACTATAGAAAGGTGGTGGCTGAGTCAACCCTACGTCATTGCATAGACTATCACATATGTGGGTGGACGTGAATAGCTGCAATCCACTTGTTGAGGGGTTTGGAGAAACCAAGGACACCTATCAAAGGATCCCAATGCAATTCAAATAAGTCAAGGCTAATTCAAGAAATGGGTTCATAATGGTTAAATTACACATTGTCCATTATGGTCAGTGAATATACCGTTTGATCCATGGAAACCACAGATAAGCGCCAGTTGTTGATGATATTCAAATGTCCAGTGATTGAAGCAGTGCAACAGACAACCCAGAAAGGTGTTTGCACAATGCTTGGGGCAAAACTCACAATCAAAGGTGATTTACTCTGGGCTCTTTTCAAGTGATTCACATGATTGAACCAATCATTGGACTTTTGCGCCAAAAGTGACACCATGCTGGACTTACGGTGACATTGTGCTGATTGATCTCACCGACTTCAGGCCATTCCTCAAGCCACTTCTTCATTAGCTGGTGTCCAGCTTCTTCCACAAAGGCCCAGTAACAGTAGGCTGTGACCTCAATGAACCAATGGGGTGCACCAAAAAATTCCATCCAGTGTGTCATTTGAGTTCCACGCTTGGTACCAATCCAGGAGGGTTGAAAGGGTAACATCATTGCCTGGCAATTCTTGTAATGGTGGAAGGACAGTTGTTTTTTTGAGTTGGTTATCTAAGATGGGCAGGAAGGGTTTTACTTCTAGAGCAATCTGTCAGAAGGATGTGATCTTAGATCATCTGAAGTTTGCAAATGGGACATATTTTGACAGACACTCACATCTTCTTGGTCGGCAAGTAAACTTGGGTCAAGTTGGGAAATTGGGGTGGAGGGGAGGTTTGCTGAAGATGATGACGGCTTTGGTGATATTGTCTTCTTGGAGGTATTGGAGCTGCATTTGTAGTCCAAGTTGTCAAGAAGACAGATGGGATCCAGAGAGGACCCATACCAATTGGGTGAAGAGTTGCCTTTGGGGGTAATGTTGCCAATAAGTTAGTCTTCATCAAGATTTTTGATGACTGGCTCGGTTGTGATTTCAACTGCCTTTGAGATAGTTGGCACCTTTGGTTTGCCCAACCCCAGCCTTCTAACACATCCTGGAGCTCCTGCGTGAGTGCGGACCGTTGGCTGGGGACACACAACACAAGGTTTTGTTGTGTTTTAATGAATGTATGTTTGAGGGTGACCACCAGAAGATCACGCTACAATACAGAGATCAGCAGACACACTATAAGTAGTTGATTGCTTTGAAGCACATATTGGAAACCTGCGTACCCAATTTTGTATCTCTTTGTCCCAGACAAGGATACAGTCATCCCACTTGGGCCCAACAGCATCTTTGGCCTGGCGCAGCAGGGATGGTCAGTCGCCCAAAGCGGCCACAGGCCAGGTGTGAAAGGAATGTGTTGGTCCTGGAAAGATTATATGAGTAAGTCAGAAAAACCACTAAGATAACTGGAAGATGCTTACTTCTTTGGTTACCAGGTGGAGGCTGATCACTGTGCCTTCATTGGTAGGAGGTTTTGCTCTCTTGAGAGCTTTGACCTGGGCCTGTTGAGCTCTTTCAATTGCCAGAAAGACATCATCTGGGAGAGTGCTTCCGACTTGATGCAGACTCTGAGAGCATTGAGGTATGACCCGCGGCTGTTTAGCAGTTGGTAAGTCAGCAGGGGAAGTCATACGGTTGTAGGAGGGTGGCTGGTTTGGAGTGTCAGGCTGATTGGTACTTAGTACATTTTGGGGTGGTTCAGCTGTTGGAATCTTTAGTCAATGGACATCCCCTGGTGGTGCATAAGCATGGCAGCACTAGGGAGAAAACAAAACAAAAGTAAATGGGGTTGATTTTCCCAGAGTCAACTGTGATTCAATCAAAATAACTCACTGATTTGCGATAGAGTAGTTTACAACCAACATGTCTCCACTTTTTATGTTTAGCTGTGGTTTTGCCTTGGTTTGCACGAGCACATTTGATGGCATGAGGCCCACTTTTGTCTGCTGTAGTTGAAGTTGCCGCTTTCTGGTGCTTGCTTGTTCAGGGAGGCACAACCACTCCCTGTAAATTGACTGGTGGTCCATGGGCGGAGGCGTTGAATGGAATTGGGTACAATTGGCCGGCATTGATCAATACAATCTTGTGATTGAGTTAATTGAGTTTGAAGGATCTAAAGTAATGTTTGGGAACTGTTTGGCACTGGTGTGCCAATTGAAGACAACAGAGATCAGTGATGCCATTGGTACTGAAGAAGAAATGTAGAACAAAAAGATTCAAAGAGTTATGATGATCTTTACCTTCACTTTGATGTAATCCTTGCCGCCAGGAGAATATACCAACGACTTATTGTTTGAAGGGGGGCAGTTTGGACAGGAAAGACCAACCATTCCATTGATGTCTGGTTTGGGCAGATTGGGGTGTGACGGTAGTCCGTGGTATTTTTTTCCTATATAAGGTTGGCTGGTAATCTTGTAAGGTTGCAGTGGGTAATTTTGAGGTGAGTGGTGTTGAGGACCAACCAGGTGCCTTTCCGATGTGGTGGTGACATTGAGCTGGGAATGGGATGGCAGTTGATTTAAGTTTAGCTGGGATACAGGCGGAGAAAAATTTTTGGTGTTTCATCATGGTGAAAAAATTTGAGCTGAGAATGTTATGAAGAAAAAGGAAAGTCAACACACATCATTGCTGAGGATCTATGGCTGGAGAGAAGTGGAAATTTTTGGGTAGGCGAGGCAGCAAAGCACAGTGCGCAGCAAATATCTGCAAGGGAAAGCGGATAGAGGGCTATGCATATACCTGGTGATGTCTATAACAGATGCTGTATTCTCACATGAGAATTCTTGTGTGAGAATTCTCACAAAAAATCCCAAAGTCCAATGTCAAACCTGGACACTGGAATTTGGTTCAATTGGGTTTGAAACTAATCAATTCCTGTGGTGTAAACCAAGCCATCATTTTTTTCTAGTGAGATCTCATTTCCAATTAAAGCCTTATTTAGATTGAGCATCATTAAAGCTCAATTACACCACAACACTCAATATGTTCAGAACCCAATTGTGCAAAATTGTGAAATAACTTAACGCGGATTTAATATCGACGCACTTGAGCAGAGTTGACACCTGGACAGACAGGTGAGATTATGAGCTCAATGACTCGAATGACTTGTAAAGAAAAAGATGGGCGGAGGAATCTCGATGCCTTACCTGGACAGACAGGTGAGATTATGAGCTCAATGACTCGAATGACTTGTAAAGAAAAAGATGGGCGGAGGAATCTCGACGCCTTACCTGCAACAGAGCAGGGTAGAGACAAGCAGAAAGACTAGGGAGGTGTGATGAGTAGATGTCGAGGTAAACAAAGTCTAGTGCTGATATAAAAAGACTTACTCTGAGTATAAACTTTCCTAACGGTGAGGAAAGAACTCAGAGCCCGAGAGAAGGGAGGTATATAAGAAAACGTACAACGTTCAGACACAGAGAAAATTCTAGACAAGATGTTAGAGCTAGCCCAAAAGGGAAATCAAGAGGAACTGGAAACATCTAAATCTAAACAAGGCGTAAGGCTGATTCCTAAACTTGTCTACCAACAGTCTTCACATCAGCACTACTCCCAAAAGGTACATTTCTTCCATAACCACCTCACCCTTGTAACTAGAGCACACTTAACCTTTACTACCTTACTACCTTATCTACACTCGTGATGTACTTGACCATAAAACCCTTATTGCCATACCACGGTTTTTACCATAACAAATTGTGGTCCAATTCTCTAACTTTTCTCAATCACAGATCTTGTTCCAAACTTCTTTGCATTGCATTCATATGTATTCCTTCAGTTGCCCAGACATCCTTTGTTATCTGTCACATATACATACAAAAGTCCCGTTTCAACCAGCCATCATCTTTCACAATAATAATTTTGTTTTTCTTGACACATCTTATCTCAACACTGCCATGTGCCTTGGAGAATGTTTGGCAAATCCAGGTGTGATGACACATGTATTTGTGCCAAGGATATATGTACTAAGCATTATGCTAAGAACATATATAGTGGAATACTTAGGATCAAGATTCCAGAATCTTGATATACACAGCTTGACCCATTGATCAAAGGGGGTTTAGCTCAATGGGCAGTTGTGAATGCAATGTGAACCAGTTTCAAATATTATCTGTGACCAAGAAAATTTGCAGACTCAGACACCACAATGTTGCTCAAACTTTGATAAGAGATAAGAAGATGGTCAGCTTGTGGTCATCATTATATAAATCTCCTGCTTCATGCATTCACAGGCACCTCCGGGTGCCTGGAATGCATGCGGAACATGCCCAGAGATCCGGCTATGGGCATTTGTTCCTGAAGCAAGGCAAAGCAGAGTGAGAAGAAGGAGAGATCACAAACCATAGGTGAATGTTGTTTTTTTCTGAATTGACAGTGGGAATTGAGAAATTTGAATGGTGAACAGTCATCAATAATCATAGAAAATATAATTGTATAGTATACACTTCCTTCCCAAGTATGAGCCAATTGGTCCAAAGCAATGCAATTCAATTGTACAATCTTTGCTAACAACTGTGATTGATTGAATGAACCAATTCACATAATTTCATAGACCCCTCAATGCAATGATTTAATCCAGTCATCATTGAAGCAATCTCTGAGACAAGTTGATTTCTAAATGTCCAAAACAAATTGAGCAATAAGAATCAAGATAATGATAGATTATTATCAATAGTCAAGTTTGGTGAATGGTACATACCAAACACCATCAATTGATTTTTGGTTTGAAACTTGGATTTCATATTTGAAAGGTGGCTTCATAAAATAATGGATTATGCAATGCATAACCTATAATCTTTAATCTATTTACAAAAGCTGTAAGCCATACCAAACAGGGCCCAAGACAGATCTGGTAAGATTTTTTTTGGATAATAATGTATTATGGAAACAAAAGAAATAAGATATAAAAGAAAAATGTATAAAAGCAGAAAAGCAGAAAAGGATGTGGAAGGTGCATGCCAGAGAGCAAAGGAATAAGCAAAAATAGGGCAGTACACCACCTATATTTGATCAAAAGATGAGATCTTGTGCAACATGTGATCAGGGATAGGTTTTAAACCCTAACCCAACATTTGAATGGCTATTGAAACATTCTTTGTTGAAATAATGTTTGGGCTCAAATATCTCCTCATGGTGTGCTGAAGTATAAATAGACAATGTGTTTTCAAAGTCAGCTACACTAGACCATCTCTGCTTGGTAGTTGCTTGTTGAACCAACTCCTTTTGTAGTGGAAATGAGATTCCTGTGTGTCAATGTGCATATACCATATGGACATGGTGAAGAGTGAAATAGCAATAGTCTATACTGCATCTGACTTCACAAGGATCACTTGAATACAAACTTCACCCAGTAAAAAACACAGCACTTAGCATATTTGAGTACAGGGCATTGCTTACAAACAAGGGTTTTATACAGACCATTGCAATTCATGCAGGGATCTCAAATGAACAAAACCAATAATTTCTCCTTTTATAACAAAATTTGAATTGAATGATTAATAATTTGAGTTGTGGAATTACTTGTGATAAAAGTAGAGGTATAGTGGCTAGTGTCAAAGGCTTTGAAATTTCAGTACTGTTTTTCAAATTGAATGTTCTTCCTAAAATTTTTACATTTTGAGCATTCAAAAAAAGATTCATGATGCTTGACCCAGCCTCTTTATATGCATAGCATTTTTTCAAATCTGGTCACAGGTTCATGAATCTGTTTCAGATGCTCAAAACTTTGACATACAAGCAAGAACTTTGATTTTGTTTTTTAAAAAAAAGAAAACCCTGTGATTGGATATGGAAAAAAAGCTATGCGAAGAAAGTGACACGGTCAAGTATCATGAATTTGTTCTCAAATGCTCAAAATGTTGAAATTTGAGCAAGAACATTGAATTTGAAAAACAGTGATTTATGTCTGAAATTTCAAAGGCTTTGACACTAGCCACTATACCAGTATCAGACTGCTTTTCAAAGAAAGTTTGAATGTCATGTCAGTGGACACACAAACAAGTTTTCCCTACTGAAAATCAGAGGCATGCCTTCCCCAATCAAATTTCATAGGCAAGGCAGAACATCCAATGGACATAATAGGCAGGATCCAGTAAGCTCATTGTGTATACTGGCTGTAAAATATTGTAGAGGAAAAAAAACTACATGATAAAATTAGAATCAGCTACAGACTCGGGTGGCAACGGTACCGTGAGAGTTACGCTAGAAGAAGTTGTTGGCCCTGTGGCCTGAATTGACGCATGAGAAATTTTTGGAGTGAAGACTGCTGAGGGTGGCCACAAATCGGCGCTGAGCTACTCCACTGGAGTGCTCCCCAACTCCAGGAAAGAGAAATTGATTAGGCCTGAAACTTAACCCTTGTCTGACAAGAGGGTGGTGGGCGGGAAAAAAAAGACATTGAGACGCAAAAAAGTTTTTGTAGGAAAATTCTATGAGACTGATAAAAGGAAATAAACCAATATTGCTATCTAGTGATAATTGATGTTCCTAAGAGGAAAAAGCTTGGGAAGCAGGGAGATGTAAACCGGTAATTGTGGATTCTAGATACTGGATAATTTTGTAATAACAGATTTTTTCAGAAGGTACAACGAATTGGTCTTTGGGACAATGGTGTAGGCAAAGTAAGATGGGACCTCCAAGGAACTTTTTCTCGCAGCTGGCACAAATCCTTCCCTCGTTGGGGTGGATGTCGTGGTGTCCATCTTTGTTGCACCTCTTCTGAGAGGGAATCTCACGTGTTCCCTTTTGCTTGGTTTGTCCCTCGCTATTCGCATATTCCATTATGTTAATACACCCGTACCAACTTCAAGGAAAACAAATCAGAAAGAACTGGTTTCTTAGTATTACTAAAAGTGAGATTCAAGAATCCTGTGGACAGCAGTGCATGTTTGGCAGTGCAGACATGTGGCCTCGATGCATGTGCTCTCATGCACACAGGATAGCATCTGCAAAAGGGGCCTGCGCACATATATCTACCCTCTTGTCTGAAGAGTGAGAGCTGGCAATATTTGAATCATTTTTTTACTTTCTTGGGAGCAGACCTCAGTATGCCTACTAGCTCTCTTTAAACAAAAGAAAAAGAACTTCACTTCCTTTACGCCAGTTTTAGTTGTAGATGAGGAGCATTCTGGCTGGTATGCAGCCAATATCTTTGACATTCAATCCTTTTTTCCTTTTTTTGAATGAAAACACTCTCCTCAATGATTTTTGTGCTGCACTGCGCGCACCCCCCTTCGCGCGCACATTGAGCTGATCACCGCATATGTGCGCGCAGGCTGGAGAAAACAGCCGCCATCCACCTGATTCAACCTTTTGCAAATCGGCTTTTTCAATTTGTGTTAGAAAAGTTGTGTTTAAAGTAAGCTCTTGATGCAACTAAGATTATGAACCCACAGTTCGCTTCAGAGCACTTTCATTCCAAATAGGAACAGGTTTAGAAGGACCCCACTTTGACCTTCTTTTCCCATAATTCGAAGCCCACATGAGTGAACAAGACTGATGTTTTGGTTCTGCAACAGTAACAAAGATGCATGAAATTTATCAATAGACAGAGCAAGATTACATAAGAAAAAATTCATAAAAAACAAATGAGAAATGTAGATTTAACTTGAAAAATATGTGATTAGAACGATATTCAATTAAAAGGAGACGTAAGAGATGCTATTCAAAATGAGACCAAAATATACAACAAATTAAAAAAAAAACAATTCTCTGCAACTTAGTAAAAATCGTTTCTTTGAGATGTGAGATGAGGAGGAGAAGCGATGATTTATGCAGTCATAACGTGTTGAACAAGGATGTGTTGTACACTCAGATTATTCATATTGTAAGTTTTCTACTACTTGATCATCGTCAATTTCCATTACTTTACGCTCCAGATTGCCTCTTGAATTGAAAGCCTTAGACGCTTGCTAGTCAGATTGAATCAAAATTTCGAAGCAGAGTGAAATGTAAGATTGAGAGTTGGACCCTGGCTGCTCTGAAGTGAAATCTTTGGATGACTACATGAATTTGAAAGCTTTGAACGCCCATCATCGTAATATGTGTGCCTTAACTTGCGTATCAGTAAGATCCCATTCCCCATTCCGATTTTGATCATATCGCAAATTAAAATTCAAAATGTTTCTCGGTACTTGGAGAATGATTTTTGCCCTCAAGACCAGAAACAAAATATGAAGAGCTTGATAGAGTGGGAAAGTTAGATGAATCCTTTTCGAGTTCCCACCAGCCAGGCGTTGGATGCAATTGGGAAGATTGTGAAGTGAAAAGATTAAGGAAGTCAGGATCCAAGATTTTCTCACACTCCACCCCTCCTAATGAATCCCCTATCCAAGACTGACTCTCTTCTGAAGGACAGATATCAAAATCTAAGATTTTTTTACTCGATGCATGATTGATAGAAGATAGTGAAGGTGATAAGAAGTTGAAGCTCATATTCGCTCTTGAATCGAAAGGAGATGCCATATTACTAGAGCCTACGCTGCTAGAGTATTCTGCTGATGATCTTGCTGGTTCAGAGCATGAAAGACTTCTTGCGTTTCTGTGAGAGAGCCCTCCCAGATGAGCAGTTATAGGGATTGGCGTAGGTCTGATTGAATGAATCCTTCGTGCTTCAGGTTGGAGAAGGCTTACGGATCTATCACTTACGTGGCTGGATGTTGAAGCTGTTGACTAAGTTCAAGAAGATACAGGGATCAGACCAGACATTGATAGGAAGTTACCGGCGGCTGCAAACCTTGTGCTTTAATTGCTCAGTACCAGGATTACTTGGACACAAGCCCGATGTGACTGTGCCAGGGGAGGTCCATGGAGGTGAAGCAACTGTTGGATCGCTCGACAAACGGGAATTTGAAGAGCTGCGAGCTCGTTCAATCAAATAATCTAACATAATTTTAGACTTTTGAGCTAAGGTACAGGCGATGGTCTGTTGCGCAAGTTCTAGAATGTCACGAAATTTTTGTAGTTCAGGAATGAAGAATGAAGAATCAAATAAATTGGGACCTGAGAAAGTGAAATGGATTAGACTCATAAGCACACCTGATAACCTGCACGGACTAGAACTTACAAATGATCAAGGCAATCGATGTAGCGATAGCAGTAGTCATGTAGGTATAAATGGCCAAAGGATGCATCAAATATGAATGCGGAAAGGCTCCTGTCATCAGGAGATGCCTTCGACAAGCTATTTCCAATTCTTTGAGGTAGATGTCAGAGAAAAGTGAGCATATCAGTTGCATATACAACTTAAGAGACTTCGGCATGAAAAGAGGACCAGATACCTCTTAGGTGGCGTGAGCGTTCTGCTTCATTCACGGATTGTCGAGGAAACAGAAACGAGCGATGTAGCTTAACTCGTGCATGTGAGATACGCTTCCACAAACCCTGTGGAGGTCAATGGATCAGAAAGCAATTGATAAAGATTCTCAGAAATATTTGTCGTTTGCTGTATTTACTCACATAACACAACATTTTACTGATGAAATCTCCTGGTATCTTGGGACTCATTGTACGCCCATCTGGACTAAATTCGACCTGTAGCCTTTTCGGGACGCCCTCTTCCACCTGCCTAAGATCGCGCTCTGCCTTCAAGACACTGAATTCAAAGCAAACTTCAGCTCAGAAGTTGAAGTGAAATAACCACATGTCACATGCTATTATCTCAGCACCAAAAACATTTCCACGTGTGGTACTTACTCATCATAGGAGGCCAATCGACCGCTCAGCATTGTCATTGAGATTGCGAACCTCAAAGGGTTCAACATGGCGAAAGCTTTCCTAGCGGCGAGTAGCAAATCCGTAGGCCAACCATCCGAGTCCAATTCACATCCTACTGTACCTGGTAGCTTAACCGTATGATACTCCGCTATCACTCTCATCCACGTTAGCTTCCCTTCTAAAAAAACAAGCTGCGCGAGGCACTGAAAGCTCACCATTTATTGGCGGCCGCATTCCACCTGACATTGCTCCCCCGGCCCTAAAAAAGTAAAAAAAGTAAACCAATTAGCCACCGAGACTTTGGGAGTGTAACGCTTCAAACTTGCCCGTCTAATTCTAAGATAGCGGAAGCCAATTGTCTCCTTGACTCCAATTCGACCATACTCTGAGGTTGATCAAAACCTGGAGGTTCTTGAAACAAGCCAACCATACTGGCTAAATTACTAGTAAGACCCCAAAAGAAGATTCCATGATCAAAATCATCAGGTCTGACTCGAGCATAAGCCAAAGCGAATCAACACCAAAGCCAAAATCAATTTTAAAGCCATCTCAACAGTCGTGATTTTTGTTTTCACTTACGCAATCTCAACATTACTTAATAGAGTCATAGCACGGATGCCCCAAATTGTCGGACGAGTCAAGACTGAACCTTGATCGGGTTGAATAAGTGCATTAAGTGCGAGATGAAACCAATGATGAGCCAATGCGATTTGCTGGTGTTGAAGGTTTGTATCAGAATGACTCGGTTTGAGCTTATGAACGTCAACTCGACGAAGTAAACCATGAGCAGCTACAGTGAGAACAGATACTAGTTGATGAATAAGTTCAGGTTGAGGATTCGATGGGAGTGGCTGATAGCAATTAAAAACTACTTCTGGCCAATTAGTTGGTTCAATGCAAGGTACCCAAAAATTGAAGGTTTGAAAGTATTGATTGGCTAATTCGGCTAATTCTGAGCTTGGCGGTAGAGTAGCTTGAAACCTTTCGAGTGAAATCGGTGGACCATTAGGAATGAGGCTCATCTTGAAAGCTTGCTGGTGGAGAAAGATAGAATGGGTTGGTCGAGGAGGTGATGAATGAAGTAAGGCTTCAAGTTCAGTTCTCAAGGGGTGATCATTTTTTGTGGATTGAACTCGAGGACCAAGTGTGATTTGGCTGAGATGATAGGCAAGGTCATCACTTGAGAAATCAATTTTGGTCTCTGTTGAAGTCTGTTCCACTTCCAGAGGAGGTGTCGGTTTAGGTTGTTTAGATGCACGACAGGGGGACGAGCTAGACTTTTCAAGTGCTTCAAGCCTAGCCTCGAGTTGTTGGATGTATTGCTCACGTTCATCTAATTGATTGAGATGACGTCTAGCTACACTGAATAAAAAGAAAAGTGCAACAAAGGTAAGACACGTGGCTACAAGAGAAGAGAACGAAAACCGAGAGAGATTGACTCACATTGAGGGTGCACTCGCGCCTTCGTAAGAACAAGGCAAATCACGACGATAGCATTCTGAGCAAGGATCGACCTACATAAATTTCGATGATAGAAAAATCCAAAATGACATTTGAGATCATCAAGTCAAAGGAGAGGTTAGTCAAAAAAAACTTCGGAATTGTGAGATTGTTGGTGGGAATTTTGGGAAGACATTAATCATCACTTAACTCGATCACATCTAGTCCTTCGGCGCCTAAATGATCAAACAGAAGATAGAACACACAATATGTATTCCATTGTCATCGCCTTGATACAGAAAGCTCTGCCATAGGATGACGAGTACTGAAGTGAAAATGGTACGAACCGACATCCCACGCAGCTCGCCAAAGTGCGTTTGAGAGTCTTTTTCCTTTTAGATTCTGTAGGTCTTGGGTTGGTTGAATCTGACATTAGATTCGAATCAAGATGAGGAGAAAGACAAAAGATAGTTAAGATGTCGATCCAAGCAGGTCAAAGCGAGGAGAGAGCTGGGTGAAGCAGCTAGTGAGCGAAGTAAGACAGGGTGAATGGATAGATGTTCGCGTATCAGGACAGGATGCTGGGACGAATGGATGGATGGTTGTATATGTAGGATAGGGGAAATGGATACGCTCGAAGCTAACGCAACAAGTGAGAGCCAAGTTATTTAATTATTTACATAATACATAATCTCACAAAAATGGTTTCATTGAGGAAGATATCGTATTCATACTTTCATAAACTCCCCATTTACAATCATCAGGATGTGTACAACAAGGTCAAAGTGATTATTAATATCATTGTCATAGTGTCACTTTGACAGATGAAGCATAAATGACAAACTGTAAACCAGTTTCTAAATAAAAATGAACGTTCTATGCTTGGTATTTACATAATTGTGATGTGAGGCTCAGTCCAATTTGGAATGAAAGTCTTCAAGAGTTTCACGGCTTCAAGAGGTATTCTATGAATCACGATTGGAAAGCGTGAACTCGAACAAACCAACTGAAACTGTTGTGTACCTCTTTCCTTTTTGGCCTGTGAGAACCGCGATAGCAGCAAAAGTCAAAGTATCTGAAGGCTTGGCAAGAGGACAGTGAGTTTAGGCGCCTGGAGCTACAACCAAGCTTGGACGCTTGGACCTATTCAACGTAAGCTTAACTAAGCCCCTCTAGCGCGTTCGCCGCGCCCTCGCAGAGGGGCTTAAATGGGACTCGCGTTTCATGGCGGGAGAGCTCCAGAAATTAAGTACCTTTATGTACTTTTTCGGAGCTCTCCTCAAATCCTCACCGTAGGATTTCCCAAGGTTCAGATATGTGTAGCTTCATGAGAAGCTACACAACCTCGTACCACTTTTAACAACGACAGAGAGCAGTGACGCTCTCTGGAAACGTTGCGCTGATTGAATGTTACGTCATCCTGTAACAGCTTAAGAAGGCCAGTACAGGCCTGTACTGGCCTCCAACGAGATTTGGCAGTTTGGAGCTCGGCTCAAACTGCCGCCAAAATGGATAAAAGCTAAAACCCTTAAGGGGATTTATCAAAACCCTTGCAAAGTTATGTTTTACGTGCTTAGGTCCAACAGGTAGATATCTTAGCATATCTAGATATCTTAGCATCTGGTGTCATCACTATACCAACTTCATCAAGGGTCACCTTGTCGACTCTCTACTTTGTCTTCATACTCCGTCATGCTCACTCGCACTCGGTCTGCTCAGCTAGTTACTCAACCAGCTTCTCCTCAAGCCCTATCAACCGGTCCCGTTGCTCAAGGTACTCCTCAAACTGGTCGGATATCACCAAATCCGTCCTTACTGAAGCTCGACGACACCGAACAAATTGAAGTGATTCGCAAGTTATGTATGAGTGTGTTCAAACTTGACCCTCGAGAACTTCAAATCAAGCCGGTGGTCAGTTTCCTTCGAGGCCGCGACGCATTCCTCATCGCAAGCACGGGCTACGGAAAGAGTCTCATACCGGAATTATATTATTTAATGTTTTTAAAATCATCGAAGCCAATTATATTGATTTTGAACCCTTTGGACGCGCTGGGAAACAATCAAGTATGTCACGCCTAATCAATATCTTTGACATTCTGTAGGCTGATTGAATTTACCTTTGACATTAGGTCGAAGAAAAGAAGTTACATGGTCTCTCCGCAATCAATCTCACACGAGCTACGTTCACGAAACAAGCTTTCAACCACATCTTGACCGGAAAATATCAGTTCATATATGTTGTAAGTGCCCAATGTGGAAATCAGGTTTCCAACAATATGGTTTAGAGGGTTTAGACTGATTCAGCTTGACTCATTGTTGCCCGACCTTTGTGTAAAAGTCACCCGAGATCTTTTTGAATAACTCTTTATTCAAAAAACTGTTTTTCTCACAGCGTTTTCAAGACCGGCTCGTCCTCAAGGTCGTAGATGAAGCGCACCTCATCTACTGTTGGGGGCTGGTATTAAGCGGGAAAATGAAGCGTCTCCAGTCACACAACATCCACCAGGATCGAACAGCATTCCGTCCTTCGTATGGTAACCTAATTCTTTGGTTTCTCGCCACCCAGAATGTTCCAAGCCTACTTATGTCAGCGACTTGTCCACCTCAATACCTCGAAGAGATCCTGGCCAGCCTCAAGATAACTAGAGACTCAATTGATATTCATGTTAGCGAGCTCACGCGTCCTGAGTTACGATTCATTCGTGTTACAATCCCCCCTGGCCAAAAACCGTGGAAAACTATCAAGAAATTCTTTGCACCGAAAGATCAAATATCCGACACCGAACTTGTGCCCTCGCTGGTATATTGTCACACTCAGAATGACACCTTCACAGCTCTAGAAACTATCAACTCGGCACGTCATAATGATGAAGAAACTGATAATGGTTTGAGCCACTCGGTGCGACGATTCCACACCGATACCAACTCGATCGACAAAATTCGCAACGCTCAAGATTTTGTAGAAGGTAATTTCAATATAATGACCTGTACGAATGCGCTTGGCCTTGGCCAAAACTGGAAAAGGGTCAGAAGGGTTATTATCGCTGGGCTTCTTGACCCGATGGACGTACTGCAAATGGCCGGTCGCGCTGGGCGAGATCGACGCCCGGCAGTGGCCATCCTCCTTGTCAAACCCTTATCTGCCGAAGCCAAAGCTTTGGTTTTGGGCTTACGCGATCCCATGGACCAGGACGATGACCAACGGATGAATGCAATGGCCATCACCCCAGTATGCCTGAGGGTCTCATTCTCAGTTCTCCTTCGGTAAGCATCTTTCTCTTTTGCCTTTGTTCATAACTCAGCAGCTAACTAATCATAATTGATCTAGTTATGGATACGTACCGGTCTCGCCTGACTTGGATTCCGTCAAGAGCGAGATTGAAAGGCAGAAGGAAGCAGGCATGGCTCCCTGCCTCTGCTCAAACTGTCATCCCAAGGCCGCCGACTTCTTCATCTCTCAACAGCCCGTATTGACGCAATCTAACTTCACCGATTTGGTGCTTCAAGACACACCACCGGATTCATACCCGTCTTTGGACGACCGTTTCCTTGACTCCAATGATCAGACACCCTTGCCGCACACTAGGATACGACCGAGCCCACCTGGTGATCCGCGACGTGCCGACCTTTGATTAATTCGTTTATTATTAAATATACAGAGGGATTTAAAACATGTATTTGATCACGAGTATCCCGAGGAAGGCTTTTACACACTTGAAGATCTATTCTCACGTGATCACATTTGGAGTGTTTGTGTCAACTACGATATCATTCTTGAAGGCTTGTCACTCGATTACTTCTTCGGAAGTGAGCCACTTCCCAAATCTTACGATGTCATATTTCGATGCATACAAACGTGGCGAGCTAACAAGAGGGATTTCTTTGCAATCTTGAACCCATCTGAAGAAGAGCTGGAGTTATACAATCTCGCCAAAGCAAAAATTACCGAACATTCAAATGGATCACACCAAGCTAATCAGGCACGCCCTCAGGCCACGAATCCCGGTCAATCTCATGAACAAGAATTAGTAAGTTGATTACTATTCAATCAAAATTACAATAACTGATGTTTTTTTGAATTTTAACCCTTTTCATCGCATCGAAGGCTTCTGCAACCCCAAATTCGAAGAAGCGCAAACCCCCCACTAAAGTACCACGTAGTGGAAAAAAGACCAGCAAAACCTAATCCTCTTCGCTACCATCTTCCTCATGAAAGGCTCCTTTGCCCCATCGATATCTCAATTTACTGGCGGTTTTATCTTGTTTAAAATTTTGTTGTAGTCTGTCTGACCCAACAACTATAGTATCAATCACCTGGCTACAGGAGGACGAAACTCGTCCCGTCACATATTGATGATTCCATGATCGTATAAAGTTTGAAAGTGTATGAGTGGTGAGCTTATGAGTGTGACTCCGATGAATTGGCTTGAGGCCACACCGAATATTTAGCTGCTGAACTAACAACCTTAGCTATTCATTCAGAATTTTTGTAAATAGTTAGATCACCAAGATTAAATATAAATGCTGAAATTCAAATAAATGCTACAACTAAAAAGTGGAGTGTGAGACATACCAGAGGTATATTTATGGACATTGCAATTAGGTGATCAATGTCTGTACCATTGCTCTACAGATTTAAACATCAAAACAGAATTGAATCAGCAAATAAAATTATAAAAAGGCAATCATTGGAATAAAATAAATTAGACTCACATTCAGATTAAAAAATGTTTCAGCCAATAGTTTTGGTGTTCTAACCAAAGGTCATTTCCCACAAAATGACCGGGGCGCTGTGAGGAAGGAATCAACAGGCTATGCAGGACCACTTTAGCCAAAGCTGGTGGTAAGTCTTTTTCTACCAGTACAAGGAATCGTGTAAGATGAAGAGCATAACGAGGGAGGCCCTTCAGTCCGTGAGCCATTAAAGCCCACTGCTTCCATATAAACTTAAGCCTGCCAACGTCACCAGCACTTGTGGCACCGTCTGCTTCAACCACTGTTGCAAAGTCTCGTATTCTAAGCCGTAGGTTATACCCTTTTTGGTCTTTTTTCTTTTCAAATTCTCTTAATGATGCTGGGCTGCAAAAATCATCATAACATTTGTCAATGACTTCCTGAGCAACCCCTTTCTCAGATAGGTCCGGATGGGTTTCGAATTGGGACATTGTGTGCCTAAGATGAGAGAGAAATAGTTAATAAATCAACTAATAAAATGATTTTAGAAAAAGACGCACCTCAAGCAGGAAACCAACGTCGCCATATGGACTGAGTGTACCGCTCTTAAAACAGTTCCAAAATCCATGTTAGATGGTGGTTTTGTGAGTGAACCACCTATGGCCTGCCATGCCTTCCAAACCCCCGTGTCATTTGCATTTCTACTATCACCCCAATGTTGAGCCAAGATACCTTGAGCCATATTCCATGTGATATGTG